AACATTCATGAACACGCGAAGGCACATGAAGACACATGATCACTCGGAACTCCACGCACATTCATGACGCAACACGAACAACACGAAATTCACACGAACAATCATGAAATCACATGAATGCAACCTCACACTAAAATGCACATAACCCATGAACCCCTAAGGCGAATCACAAACCGTAAACGCCAAAATGATCAGTACACAAATGCGCATTCCACACCCCACAAAATACCTTAGAACAGATACCTTCAAAATTCACCTCGCTCGACGAATAGGCAACAGGTTGACGTGCAAATTACATTTTGCACCCAACATCACTTACAAGAAAGAAACTCGGGTGAGTGTGCTGATGGTAGCAGGAATGCTGCCAGACAGCTGGTTGTTTGAAACATCGCTGAGTAGAAAACAAAGGTAGAATGTAACATTTTGCTGGGGTTATAATGAGGTAAATGGATACAGGACAAGACAGGACAGAAGAGAGGCGGTGCCAGGGAAAGGTTACCACAGTACCAGCCCCTGGGCACCGGGAATGCCTCCTCTGCACTGCATGGGGCAAGGCAATGCAGCACCTGGGGAGACAGGCAGGTGGGAGAGGTGGAGTAGGTAGGAGACAAGTCAATTCAAGACAGGTGGGACAGGTGGAACAGGTGGGGCGTTGAACCGAGGAGAGGGGCAGGACGGAGAACCTAAACACACCGAGGAGAAAGGCAAAAGCGGGAACACTGTAACGTACCGAGGAGAGGGGCAGGATGCGGGAGTGGCGGAGGCAGTGGGTGAGCCACCTGGCAGTGACCACCACCTTGCTGTCGCTCTCCGCCCTCATGCACAGCTCGTCCTCCTGGCGTTGGAGTGGGGATTTGGAGGACGGGGAGGAAGGGGAAGCGAGTTAGGAAGTTGGGTGGGGAGAAGTTGAATAGGGGCATGGTATGCATGTGCAACATGGGTGGGGTGGGGCATGAGGGAAGGGGAATCGACTACCACATTGTCATCGCTCTCTGCCCTCACGCATAGCATGTCCTCCTGCCCTCACGGGAAGTGTTACGGTGCATTACCATGGTGAGGTCATCGACAATAACGAGGGGTCGTAAGCGGGCAGCACCGTTCCACCTGCGCGCCTCACATTGTCCTCAACCTGTGTGGTGGGGCGGGGGAGTCATAGGGCAGGGGGGGGTAACCATGTAACCATTGCGCAAGCGAGTAGGGGGCACGTGAGAGCAATGGAATGGTGACTAGCACGGGGGTAAGGTCAGTAAGGACGACTGAACTGCAGAGGCAATAATCTGAGAAACAAAGAAAGAGGAGGAAGAACAGAATGCACGAATGAAAATACAATCAAGAGCATGGAGTGAAAGAGAGACGGGAGGGACAATCGGGGTGGGGAGGGGAAGCTGCTGCGCAGGTGCGTAGGTGCGCAGTGCGCAGTGCGCAGTTGGCAGTTCAGCCAATTGCGCAGCAGTGCGGAGTTGGCAGCTGGAGTTGTAATTCCGCAGTCTGCGGTTGCAGCAATTGCGCAGTTGGCAAAGCGCAGTTGGCAGTGCGCATTTCACCCTGCGCCGTTGGCACTCCGCAGTTGGCACTTCCAGCAATTGCGCGGCTGTGCTGGAGTTGCCAACTCCAGCGCAGCTGCGCAAGGTGTACAGCAGCTTGATGCCAAGCGCGTTTCGGAGATTCACAGCCAATCACAACAAACCTTATCGCCAAAATGGTTCGCGAAGGTGATTCCACCAATTACAAAACACCCCGACGATGACGTGTTTGCACGACAACAACGTGCTGGAATGACACAGCGGTGGTTGTTACCATACTCGCTTCCAAGGAATGTACAGTCCGTTCGATACATTGATACACCGCATGTACAAGGCTCTTTTACGATGGAACCAAATTATAGTGCCCATAAGTGTCACAAATTGTCACAAACATATGTGGTTTCATCCAATTGAACCCGATGTCACTCAGAAACGATCCAAAAAAAGGTTACGGAAATTTATGAAAACAAATATGATACATTATATTACGCAATGATCGACTGTGATGTTAGGAGGACAAAAAAATCAGCTCCCTATAAATATGAAACGAAAAAATAACATCAATAGGTTACATAATGATTGATTGTCCATGCTCCGTCTCGTCGACGTCGACCGATATTGCATGCCAAAGGATAAAAAAACAAAAAAAAATGGTGGGAGATTTATTGGACACGTAAATTGCAACATGTATTACAGCGAACATATACATAGTGAATAGAGCTTCCATAGAGAAGACGGTAGCCTATTAGATCCATGTAAATAATAAGTATCATGGCGACACGATTTGTTTTAATACGAATACAGTTTATTTTTGTAATGCAAGTGGCAATTGTAGTTAGATTGGACTTACAACTGACCAATTTTGGTCCAAATCCGGACTTATATAGTGTGGTGTAATATTGGTCCAATTTGTGTCTAAATTTTGTACAGGAAAAACGGGCAGATTTTTTAAGTGTAGCGGCTCGATAGAAATCGAGCAAATTTTGACGCGCTTTGGTTGACCATGCCTAATTTCGACCAATCTGGCACGGGTCGCACCTAACCCCCCATGAATCAAAATTTCGACCCCCAAACTCCCTCGAAACAAAACGAGGGTTGTTTGTGATGACTGCCTCCGCCTGCGCCACCTGAACCCTGCGCTGCTCCCGCGCGCCTTCCAGCTGCGTCCCTTGCACTTCGACCATTGCTGCAGTACTCTCCCCTGTTTCGCTTTCTCCTGCTTCGCTTTCTCCTGCTTCGCTCGCTCCTGCTTCGCTCTCTCCTGTTCGCTTTCTCCTGCTTCGCGCTCTCCTGCTGCACTCTCTCCTGCTACGCTCTCTCCTGCTGTCGCCCCCGCCTTGCAATTCCCTGGCGTCGGCAACGACTGCTCGACAATTTACAGCAGAGCGAGAGGCTAAGCGGCAGATGTAAAGGCCGGAGAGCACAACTTGTCGAGTTGGAGGAGTCAACTGGGGAGTGCAAACGGGCGAGAGAAAGCAGAGGCCGTGCCGCGGGTTGCGAGACGTCGAATTCGATAAGGCACGGGGCTCTCGTGGCGAAAACGTTTTTCGCAGAGCGATTTCCGAAATAATGTTTCAACGCCGCGGATGTAACAAGGAGGCCTACTGGGAGCTACGGTCTAGTGCGATAACATTCGGTTTGAGCTGTAGAGGATGTCGTAGAAACTGGCTCCGGACGCTGTGCGGACGGGATGATATACCTCAGCGGACGAAAAAACGCCGCCCAATCTCGCGGTTGCGATAGGACAACGGACCCCCTCGGGAGTGACGAACCCCCGACGACCTCCGAGTGGCAAATTGGGGCGAGCTGGCAGCCCTCCGGGCCAAAGGAGGCCTCGGGATTGTCGACAATCTGACGACCTCGGGTTTCGCTGAGAGAAACCCGAGAAGGATATCTCAGCGGACAAAAAATCGCAGCTCGACACGTCGAGCCGCGATTTGTGCCACGCGGCCTAGCAGCGACGACCGCGATCGTACCTTTTAATCGCGGGGTGCCACGACAGCCACGACGTGGCCACGCGTCGCACCACGGGTCAATTTATTTTGCGCAGGAACACCTCCCTCCGATAAAAAAATGTCGGCGACGTCCACGCGGCGAATAACGACTAGCTAGTGCATGTACAGGTGTCGAGCACCTAGGGAGCCAGAGATCGCGGGAAGCAATTTCCCGCCGCGCGTAGGAATGTCGGTGTCACCCACAGATCCAACCTCACCTTCACGATCCACGCGGCATAATCCGATCGGTCCCTTAGATGGCTAGGTGAGGCGAATCCAACACCCTGGGAATGTCGGCGTCGACCAACGGGATGACACGCGGGACTGCACATGTCGATAACGGTTGCGCGGGAAAGCCGGCCGCTTTGAGATTTTTGGAGAGTTGAACAACTGATTGGTGTAGACCACGTGGCACACGCAGAATCCACCGTGGAATGGCCCCGGTGGGGGGCTCTTTGAGTGCAGAGCGGCGTGACACTAGACATGCACCGACGTTGGCACGTCAGACACATGCATAGCGGCGCACGCAAAGGGAGCTGCGTGGAGCGCGGCCCTCTACGGAGTCGCGTGCAACCATACCCCTCCTTGACCATGCGCAAATTCCTCATTCTGCCTGTCTGTGTGTGTTCCTTCCCTCGTATTGCGTTGCGCTCTGTGGCACTTAGAATTCTCCCCACCCTCACTATCTTCACGTGTCTAGGTTACTCGAGCGCCGACATCACGGTCTCGTCGGCACAGATCGCGTCGACCTGGCAGAGACGAATCAGGACGTTGTTGAACTCTACGACCGGTCGTCGACATCGACGTAGGGTTCGAATAGATCTACCGACCGACCAAGACGGCCCAACACCACCTTACAGAGTCGACAACGCATGGCCAACAGCCGCAACCTATCCCACCCCCTGCCGACTCTGTAGACGCCGACATCAAAGCGCAGCTGGAACGACTCGAGCTCGCCGCTGAGTTAGAAGCACTTGAGAGGGAATTCGAAGAAGACGCCCGCGCGACGCATAGGGCGTACACCGCACCCGTGACTCAGTACCGTCTCTGGTGGTCCAACCTGTACCTCGCACACGGCCGACCGTAGAGCAACAAACGAGCGGCCACATGGCCAACGTCGACATGTCCGACGTTGGTCCCCCCACCGACCACAGTCCGTCCTCTACCCCCGAAGAGACGCTGAAATTGCTATACGATCTTGACGCACGGACTCAGATTCCTGAAGGGGAGTTCACCAAGGACATCCCCCAACCGCCGATAGGGGAGTTTACAAAGGCAGCAAATAAGTCGACCCCGACGCCAGATGGGCAGCATGGACCTTCGTCGGTGCCGGCCGGCCCTGAAAACCAGGGTGATGATGACGACGACGACGACGAAGAAAGCGACGACGAAAACGACGAGCGTCCTCCGCGTAGCACGAATCCGCGAACCTTGGAAGAACGCCTTAGGCGGGAGTTTGAATACATAGATGACATGCTCAAACATGGCGGTGCCACGCGAACAGTGGAAGGCGACAGACTTCGTAGTGGACGACATGGTGTACGCCTGCATCGACGTGCTCGTCATGGACGCCCTACGCCACCTACAAACCTTGGAGAAAAAGAGCACGCTCAGGCTGTACACCGCGTTCATCTACCACTACAAGAGGTGGGCGGCGAAGATGCTGAAGCAAATACGCGACAAGCTTCCCCATGAGCACCGACTTAGGCACGTCGACGAGATCGGCCACTACATCCGCGACAACCAGAAAAGTAAATGGGACAACGAGGTCGATGTACGCCGGAAGTACATCTGGCTGCACGGCCCTAGGGTCACCGAAACCCGGCTGCGCGCCTACGTGAAGTGCATGAGCCGTGAGTGTAACCTCACTGCCGCGCCGACCGAGGAGGGGAACAATGCCACGCGAACCGCGCCTGTGCAATCGACAATGGTGCACACGATCCGCAGGCGCATAAAGGCATGCCAGATGGCGGCGAGGGTGGAGGCAACGCTGTACCGGGAGAAGGAGCTGGGCATCATGAGGGAGATCTCGGTGGTCAGGTCGGAGGTGCGGTTCAACGTCCGCTCTAAGAACGAGAGGTACATCAAGTGAGTTGGTCGATACCTCAAAGCTCAGTCTTCATTACAGTGAAGTCGACGCCGTTTAACTACTCTACCCCGCGATATGTGTGCAGGAATTGCGCCGACCGTCGACGCGGCACCATTGGCGATACCTACACCCCCGAACAGTTCCGCCAGATCATGATGAAGGTGCTGCCGACATGGGCGGCAGCGGCGTGGAATCCGCGTGCAACCACTCCTTCGCAAACGCTGTGGAGATTCCTGCTCGTCAAGGTGCTCACGCTACTCTCCCACCACTCTCTCCTGCGTGGCGCCAGCATCCGCGAGATCACGCTACCCGACGTCTTCTTGTACCGACTGGAGAGCACCTCATCGGTGAACCTGGAGAACCAGCCTGTCGTCATGGTGATCGCCGCGCGTAACTCGAAGACTTCCAAGGATGCCCGTCTTCAGCAGAGCTACGCGGCGCGACACCTGGAAGCAGAGTTGCGCGCCGTCGGCGAGACCGGCCTGTGGTTGCACTTCATCCTCGACCAAATTGGTCAGTTCTCTGGCGTCAACTTCCTTCCGCCGCTTGACACCACTGAACGCGAACGCTAGTACAAGAAGCACCTATTCTTCGCCAAGAACGACAAAGAGCAAGACGAGCTCCCCGCTGCCAGCCACCAACGTTGGACTCGGCAGATGTGGATGACAAACAAGGTGTTCTGCAAGCGGAACGTGCACGCCGCACGCGCCGGAGGTGCACAGGAGCTCGCCATCGACGGAACGCCTCGCGCCGAGATCGCCGAGCTGGGACACTGGGCTCTCGACAAGATGACGCGTGCTTACATCACAGCCATTCCCGCTGGGGTGGTGATGAGGAAGGCCGGCTACTCGGATTTCAAGCCAGACTACTTCTTGGGTCGCAGCAGGGTCGAGCCCTCCGCCAAACTCCTGGGCATCCTCGCCGAGCAAATCTTCCCCGGCGTGGATGCTATGTTGCGCGATGTATGTTAAGCGACGCCGACTATGTCATTACGTCGCCATCTCTTCGTTGGCTGCCCAACACCCTACTAACCCACATCACTTGCCGACTTGCAGGCGGAAACGCGTGCTGTCAAGGGGAGCGACGCCGACAAAGCCGCCGTGCACTTTTTGCGTACCCTCATGATGTTCCGACGCATCGTCGCCGAGGACCTCGCGGTTAAGCTCGTCCGCACACCGTGGCACCCGTATGTCGAAGGTTTCAAGCTCTGCCGGATTGCCCTCTTCCATCACCGGGCGAAAAGGGTCGAGGCAGTCGACACCGAGACGATCAAGAAGCGCCGGGACCCGACCGTGATTCAGCCAGAGGTGAGATGACGATGATGTCGGCGTCAACCTGCAACCTGTGAATTCTAAACTCATTTCGCCTTTCCGCCTACCACTGCAGGAAATTTCCGTCCGCATGGACACCCAGTATCATAACATGCCCCTCAAGGAGACGCTGAAGTACGAGATGGAGCGCTCCGCGGTCGAGAAGATCGACCTTAAGGAGGAGATCGAGAAGCGCTACGATACCATCGCGACGCTGACCGCCGAGCTTGCTCGTCTCACCGAGGCACTCCGTGTGTCAGAGGCACGGAGGATGCCGGCGGCGCCGCCGTCGGCGAACGAGCAAGCGCCGAGCGAGAATGGCTCAGCGGATTCGGCCAACACGGGGGCCGGAGCCAAGGACCCTGAACCCCCGAAACCCCCACAGACGGTCGAAGAGGCTCGTTACGAGCTCAGCGTGGTGAAACCCTGGCACGAGGCAAAGACCGTGACGGACGCTTGGCGCCTCTGGAACTCCGCCACCGCCGATGACACCCGTCGTCTTTGCGACAGGTTCGCCGAGCCGGGATTCGTCGACCGCCACACCCTCCTCAAAGGCGCGACGCAGGGTGCACACAACATGAAGGTGCGCCGCATGCTGAAGGCCATCGATGCAGTGCGCCTCCTTCGCTCGAGCGACGGCCATGCCGACAAAGAAGCCGTCGTCGCTGCACTGAACAGGATCGCGGCGCCGGGCATTGGGACCTTATGCGATGCCCTCACGGTGCTCAAACCGGAAACAGCACCGACGAAGTCCAAGGAGCCGGGCATGGGCGTCAAGGGGCTGGGCCCCAAGGTTGTCTCGAGGCTACGTGTCGCATGTGCGCCGGTGGCGCTCAATCTGAAGCCGATGACTTCGGTCGCCGACCTGTTTCCAGACACCTGGGAGGAGCAGATGCCGAAGACCGAGGCCGACTTGGCCAAGCAGACCGCACCTGCGCAGCGTCCTCCGACAAAGCGCAAGAAGGCGGCAGGACGACCTCTGGAGCACATTGTGCTGATGCTGTAATTGTGGTCGATGTTTGCTGATGCTGTAATTGTGGTCGATGTTAACAAACCGTACAGCTTATATTGTTCAGGAAGTTGGTGAAACAACACGACACTAAGGCACAGAACAGGGCCCATGCGAACCTAGATGATCCAATCCGAGTATACCTGACGCCGACGTGTTGACATACTCGGAGGGTACTGATATGGTCGACACCGCCTACGATGTTGACAGACTCCATCATAGACGCCGACAAGATTCATCGCCGGGTAGCATGTTGGTGTGCAATTCAGTGGGTAGTCATCAGGTCGACATCACCGACAAGGGTTCTAGTGACATGCACTACCAGAACGTTACATGCACAACCACATAAGCAAACTAAAACAAAAAGATGCAACCACTACGCAATCGGCGCCGCCCAGACCAAAATGTTATACACCCTAGCAATCAGACCACCTAGCGCTCCCTCCGCGCGCCGACTACGCCGTCGTGCTGTCCTTGCCCTTCTTCCCCTTCTTCTTCCCCGTGCTGTTCTTGCCCTGCTTGCCCCTCTGCCCCTTCCTCCCCCTCTCTTTGAAATCGTTCTCCATCTGCGCGTCACACGGCACCGCGATGCCGATCTCTTCTAGTTTCGGTCCGGCGACGGGGCACATTCCCCAGAACGCCATGGGCTCCACCGTCGCTCTAGCGATCACGTCGACTTCAACTTCAACATCCACCCCCGGATAGACCCTTCCCAGAGCAAGACTCTGCAGCGCCGGCGCGATGTTGTGCGCAACCTCCCCAAGGGGTGACTCCCTGTCGATCTCGACCTCCAGCACCGCCTGCATGACCTTCTTGAAGACACCGGCGGTCGTCTCGCTCGCACCGGCCACCATCGCCGCCGCCTTCCCTTCGCCCACAACATCGACCACCTGGGCGTCGTCGTTCTCGACTAAGCACGACACGGCGCAAGCGGAGGCCGACCACGCTTGTGCCGTCATCTCCGTCCTCTCATCCGTGTCTCCCTCCTTCCTCGCTGCAATCGCAGCGACCTTCCCATACGCAGCGCACATGGACACGCGACCTATCATGGCCGACATCATAGCATCCGAATTCTCCTGGCCTTCCTTAGTGTCGGCATCAACGAGGAACCAGATCGCCGGCAAGAGCGCGTCGTGGTGCGCATCGCCTGAGCTCTTGTACGCTTGATACTTGCCGAGAATATCATCGAACCTGTCACACAATCACACGAAACTCGGCGACCATTAGTTACTCCGACGTCGTCATCATCACTCGGCCGAAGGGTATCCGACTTACCGTGTTCTTGGAAGGTACGCGCCCCGTGCCCATATCACCGTCCACATCCCTGTCGGCAGGATCTTGACCTCTTCCCACACCTTCCTCCACTTCTCCATGTCGGTTTCGGGTAAGTTGGTGAGCTCGTCCATTAGGACCTTGCTGACGTAACCGTCGTAGACGATGTACGCAATCGAGTGCAGGTACGCCAGCTCCATCTTGTCGCGCGACTTGCCCGATGTATCGATTCACGCCGAGCACCTTAATCTCGCCCACCCACCCTAGCCCGTCGCCCGAGGTGTCGTGGCGGATGCCATGACCCTTCCTTCCTTTCTCCTTCTCCTCCTTCTCCTTCTCCTCCTTCTCCTCCTCCTTCTCCTTCTCCGTTTTCTTCACCGCCGCCTTTGCTTTCCCTTTCTTTGCCGGCGTACCCTCGCCGACCGACTTCTCCTCCGCCGCCCTCTCCTTCCCTTTCTCCGCCGACTTCTCCTCCGCCTTCTCCTTCCCTTTCTCCGCCGACATCTCCTTCGTCGCCGACGTCGCCCGTGTTTCCCTCTGAGAGCTCGCCCTCCCTTTCCCCGTGTCAGCCTTCCCCTTCCGTTTCGACTTTGGCTCCGCTGACCCACCGGGGGGACTTGCTGAGGGCTCCACATGCGCCGTGTCCGAGATGGCCAGCGTAGGGGGGGGGGGGGGGGGCGGGGCGTTTTACCGCTTCCAACAGGTCCTGTATGGCAGCGATTTCGGCGTCGTCGTGGCCTTTCGACGACAGTGCAGGGTCAACGGCTCCGCCGGCGGTGGCTAGCGCTGCCCTCACGCCCTTCTCCACCGCGGCATCGACAACATCTGCACCGGGTGTGGGTGCAGCCACGTTTACCGACGTCGGCGTCGCGCTTGAGCCGGCTTCCGGCTGAGTCCGTGTTTGCGCTGCCGTACTACGTGCGCCTAACCGGGCGCGAAGCAATGCGGACTTTGGGTCCGCTGGAGGACGGGCGGCGAGCAGAGGCGCGGTAGGTGGGGCTCTGGACGCTGTGGCGGCGACATGCGGAGTGACCAAAGGACGTGCAGTTTCGGCGGGGGCGGCGTCGACCAAGGGAGGCTGCTGCACGTCCCGGCGATGGGCCTCCATGCGGTGGAGCATTTCCCTGAGCGCGTTCGCCGCTGCGGGCTCCTTAGAGGCAACCTTCGCATCGCCCTTGGCGGCAGACGGGCCTGCTGGAGCTGGAGTAGCCGCAAGGGCCGGCCCATCGTTGTTGGCGGCGGACGGGCCGACAGGCGCGCTGCTAGCCGCAGGGAGTTTACGGGGAATCGACGTGGTCCCTGCCACCCCGACAGACGGTTCTGGCGCCGCCTTCTTTCGCCGTTTGAGCGGGTGGGATCTCCTTGTCGGCGACCAAGGGCGAGGGTGTTGGTCCAGCGTCTTGAGCGGCAACCTCGTCATCAGGGCCCCCATCTGCACTCCCGATTTCATCGCCCTTGCTGTGCGACCTTATCACCTTGGCCCCGTTCTTCTTGAGCTGGTCGACCACGCTCGGACCTCCGGTCCGCGAGCCGCCTGGCCCCACCTTGCCGACACCGCGGCTCCCATCAGCTCCCTTGCTACGCTTCACGCTCCCCTCGTCCTCTTCGCCGCTCGCCCTTTTCTGGCCCTGCTTGTCGGCCTCCCTTCGCGCCACGGGATCGGCGTCATTGGCCGACGGCGACGACCCACGCCGACCAGGCGCCACATTGCCGATCACCTCGGTCATGAGCTTTAACCCGGACGCAACAAACGACTGCTGTGTGGCCTCCGTCACCGCCTTCAACATTTCCGCCTTGAACGACTTCATTTGCTCGTCCGGGAAGGCTGGCGTGGGCTGCGGCGGGGGCGGCAGCGGCACGGCGATGTTGCGAGTTACCGCGGCGGCAATGTTGGTCTGCGCGGCGGCTAGGTGCTTCGAGATGTAGTCCTCCAAACCCAGCTTCGCACCGTCCACCACCGCTTCCACGTGGTTGGCCAAGGAGGTGACCGCTTTCGCACGTTCAACTGCCAGAAATCCCTCCGGTTGGTCGATTTCGTCCAACCACTTATCCGCCTTTACGGCGAAGCTCCTCATCGCCGCCCAAGCTTCGCCCATACTGGTGGTGATGTTTTCCATGACGGTTGTCGACATGGACAATGACGCGTCTAGCAGCCGACTCGCCGCCTTCTGGTCGGAGTCGGCGACCTGGTCGGCCAACGACTTGAGCTTGTCCATCAGTCCACGTGCCCCCAACGCAAACCTGTCCACCCGACCCCTCTCCTCTCCGAGCGCCTTCTCCAGACGGGCATTTTCAGCCGTCAACCGCCTGTTCTCCTGTCGCAGCTGCTCGACGACGTCCAGCGGTGCCTGCCGACCAGATGCGGAGGAACCGGGATGACCGCGCGCCGCCTTCTTCTTCCTAGACCGCTTCCCCCCGACCTTGCCCGCGGTGGCCTCAGTAGGCCCTTCCACGCCCGTCTGCTTCGTGGCCGCGTCGGTCTCCCCTTCTCCACCGACCTCGAGGTCGACAACTTCCTTCGCGTGGGGATCCACATCGCCGACCACGACCTTCTCACCCCCCCCGTGAGCAGCCTCCACGCCGACTTTCTCCTCGTCGGCAGCCTCCCCTCCCTCGTTCACAACATCCGCTGACCTCCCACTCCCCCCGTGAGCCGCCTCCACGCCGACTTTCTCCTCGTCGGCAGCCTCCCCTCCCTCGTTCACAACATCCGCCGACCTCCCACCCGTTTCCGCCGCTCCCTCCATGACCTCCCACTCCATGACCTCCCACTCGACCTCTTCCTCCTGATCCCCCTCGTTCTGCTTCGCCGCCTCCTCCACCTCCTCCTCCTCCTCCTCCTCCTCCTCCTCCTCCTCCTCCTCCTCCGCCGAGCCCTCCTTCTCCTCCTCCTCCTCCTCCTCCTCCTCCTCCTCCTTCTCCCCCTCCTCCTCCTCCTCCTCCTCGTCCTCCTCCTCCTCCTCCTCTTCCTCCTCCTCCTCCTCCTCCTCCTCCTCCTCCTCCTTCTCCTTCTCCTCCTCCTCTTCCTCCTCCTCCACCTCCTCCTCCTCCTCCTCCTCCTCCTCCTCCTCCTCCTCCTCCTCCTCCTCCTCCTCCGCACGATCCTCATGGTCCCCCTCTTCCTGATCCTCGTTATAATCCTCCTCTTCCTGATCCTCGTTATCATCCTGGTGCTTCTCCGCGGTCTCAGTCACCGCCCTTCCTGCCTCCTCATCTGCCTTGTCGACGCCGCCGACGGGCTCTCCGATCGAAGTCCCACGCGCATCATCGACGGGGTGGGCGACACCTACTGCTTTTGATGCCGACAGGGGCTCCTCGCCGTCGTCGTCACAGGCGTCGGCAGCAATTCCGACATGGCCCGACCGTTTCAGAGCGACGTGCTCCTTGATGAATGTTATCATCGCATTCCGCAGCCCCTTCAACCCCGACACGTTGACCTTGTCCATGCTGGTCGCACTACGACGAAGGGCGCCGGTCAGGAGATCCATCCTCCTCACCACCCAGCACAACTCGCTCATTGCTAGCAGGCCGGAGCCCGCGTTCCCGTCCTGGACAACGTCGGGCACCTTCTGCATACAACGGTTCAGAGCGAAAGGATGAGCACCGCGATCGGCAACCGCATCGCGCAAGGATGACACACTATAGGTAGGTGAATCGTGCGCAACTCACATCGCGAAGGGGTTCATCGCAGTCGGCGAGCCTGTCCTCCACCGCTTCGTCAGAAGGCTTCTGCCACTCCCACGTCCTACCATCGCGGCCCAGCTCAGCCATGACCGCCGACCGGAAAAACCTGAAGCAACAATGGCACAAATACTCGGTAAGGATGGTTCACGCTGCGCGGCGAACTGGCATGCATCGTCGACTACACTATCGAGCTCACTTCAGCACGCGGATCGCATCGTCGCGGTGCCACTGCTTCACGGTCTACGGGTCCACGTGCCGGATCGACGTCCGGATCTTCTCCCCTCCGGCCTTCAACAAGTCGTCGGGGTACATGATGACAACGATGCTGCATTGTGCTCCTGGAAGCGGTGCGATGCTGCACAAGCAAGGCACAACGACGTCGTTCAGAACAGAACGAGAAGTCGGCGTCAACAAGAACTGAACTAAACCCTAACCTCGTAGCGCCGCCCTAGACGTGGGACAACCCTAACACCGACGCTGCGTCGACCAGCAAGGACACCAGTGGTCGACGCCGACATCACCATACGGAGACTCACTTGAGGCCGAATCTCAAGCAACGGGCGTTCAACTCTAGCCTATGGTCTACGAGGACGGCGTAGTCGTGCTCCTCGTACTTGGAAGTGAGCCCTCTATCCAGGTCGAGATACAGAGGGAAGCCCTGCGAAGTCGGCGCCGCTTCGCCGGCTTTCGGGTCGGCCGCCATGGCGGGGAAGGGAATAGACTACAGGCTAAGGGACGAGAATGTGGGAGTAAGGAAGGCGCAGAGTTGGGAAAAAAGTGGAAAGAGAAACGAGATGCCGAAAATGAGGGGTGATGCCTCCTTCCACCAAGAAAAGGGGGTCGGTCGCCCAGGGTTCGTGGTGCCTCGCTCGGCAGGGTTTGGCGGGCTGCATGCACAAGTGGCAGAAGCCCTCCTCCGCCGCCGTGCCAGCACGTCGACATCGCGTCCCCAGGCTTCGCTCGGCGAGGGGACGCAATTTCGCAATCCACGTGGTGCGACGTTTTGGCCGACACGTGTCGATTTCGCAGCGGATCGCGAAAACCGTGCGCCGCGATGCGAGCAATCCGATTTCGCCGGGCTCGAAATTTTGCATGCACCGAATGCTAACCCGCGTGCGAACACGTGGCGTCACCGCAACGGGTCGCGAAATTGTCGAGCGTCCCGAGGGGAGCACCCGAATTTCGCATGGGCCTCGCCTGCCCGTCCGGGCAGGTCGCGATGGGTTACTAGGACGTCGCGGGCAGCAGGCACGGGTGGGCTGCCTTCGCGCTAGGGTTACTTTCCCTCGCGCAAGGTGTCGCCAGCTCGCCGGCCCCACCAGGTAATTTGGGTCGCTCTTCGATTACGCGGGGGGGTTGCGGGGCGGCGGTCGTGCGCTCGGCCCAGCCCTGGGCCAGGCTGGCGGGCCCGCACGCGCGTCAGTTGCCCGCCTCGTCAGGCCCGGCTCCGACGACCCCCCCCGACGACAGTGGCAAACCCATTCTGACGACCGAATTGCGCTGGGGTGTTCGGAATGAAGAAATGAGCGATAGGACACGAGCGGAAGCTACGCGAGCCTGCTTGACGCATAAGTCAAATAGAACGTAGACGCGAGCCGCTGGCTCATCCAAAAAATGGGGGTTCCGAAAAGTAGGGTTTCGGAAAGTAGGATTGAAGTACACTTGATGCACACTCAACCGCCCATTCTCAAGTGGCCCACAGGCATTCCACAGGAGATGTGGTCGTCATTCACGGGAAACGGCCCATTCGGGACAGCCCTAAGTTGTGTTGTACCCCCTAAGGCTAAACCCACTATAGCCTACACAATGTAAACATACAATGTTTGACACACCCCCATAGGCTAAGTGGGAGACAACCAGATGGTCACAAGACCAGTCAAAGCAAAGCAAAGCAAAGCAAAGCTCAGGGTGGATCTCAAGGATACCACACAAATTCTGAGCACAAGCAAGCGGTCACAAGACCAGTTCACATGCAGTTTGATAATAAACAAGAGGTACATTGATCACAACCTAGCAAGTGTAAGCATGCAGGTATATATATAGAGATCACAGTACAAGCAAAGTCAAGAAGTGAGCAAGTGAGGGAGAGTAGGCACAAGGCCTAGAACAGTACAGAAACGCTGATGGTCACAAGGCTGAAGCGCCTTGGTAAACACATCAGCAGTGTCGGCCCGAGTGGCCACGTACGAAAGACGAAGCTGACCACGCTGCTGCAGCTCTCGAGCGAGGAAGTAGCGCAGAGCGATGTGCTTCGTTTTGTGCTCCAGTCTGTGCTCCTGACACAAGGCAAGGGCGGCCTTGTTGTCGACGTACAGCACTGGAGGAGAACGAGGCCGCTCTCCCAGGTCGGTCAGCAGGTAGGTGAGCCAGCGAAGCTCCTGGGCAGCCATGGCTGTGGCGTAGATCTCAGCCTCACAACTGGAGCTGAGAACAGAAGAAGAGCGTGTAGATTGCCAGGAAACAGAGCCAGAGCCAAGGCTGAAGGTGTAACCCTGAGACGACCGCTGAGTAGCCTGGTCGTCTGCCCAAGAAGCGTCTGAGTGTCCAGTGAGGACAACGTCGCGCCGTCCTCCAAGCACAAGCCCCATGCCCGACGTACTGCACAAGTAGCGCAACACCCTCTTAGCTGCATCCATGTGCTCCTTCCGGTGACGGCCAGGAGCGACATAGCGTGCTAGGATGCTAAGAGGGTAGGCTAGGTCAGGTCGAGTGCAGGTCATCAGGTATATGAGGCAGCCCACAAGCTCTAGATACGGGCCACTTGGCTCTACGGACTCATCCGAAGGCAGAGCTGAGAGCGAGTGGCGAGTAGGCAGAGGAGTGGGCTGAGGCGAGGAGTACGTGAAGCGGAAGCGCTGAAGGACCTGCTGCACCATGTGTGACTGAGTCAAGGTGATGGTGCGCTGTGCTCTGTCCCGGGTGATCCGCAAGCCAAGATAGCTTGTCAGCTCACCCAGGTCTGTGCACGTGTGTCTCTTCTGCAGCTCCGACTTCACGTGGGCGAGTGCCTCAGTGTCAGCAGTAGCAAAGACCAAGTCGTCTACGTACACGAGAACGTAGAACGGCGGCAGAGTGGTGTCGGTGCGTAGAAACAGCGACGGGTCAGCAGTAGAAGGAGCAAACCCAAGAGCAGCAAGAGTAGTCCTCAGTGTGTCGTGCCACTCACGGGGCGCCTGGCGGAGACCGTAGACTGGCCGCCGGAGGCTCCACTGGGTACCAGGAGGGAACGACCCAGTGAAGCCAGGTGGGCGGCGCAGCCAGATCTCCTCGTGCAGGGTGCCCTGTAGGAACGCAGTGCTGAAGTCAAGGCAGTGGAGCTCGTAGTCACGCTGAGCAGCGACGTGCAGCAGAACCCGAAGAGTGGTCATCTTCGGGGTCGGGGAGAAGGTCTGGAAGAAGTCAACTCCCTCTCGCTGACTGAAGCCTCGTGCAACGTAACGCGCCTTGAAGACAGGCGGAGAACCCGGCGGCCGCTTCACCCTGAAAATCCACATGCCACTGATGATGTTCGCCCCAGGTGGGGGAACCTCGTCGACGTAGGTGCCTGTGGACTTCCAGGAAGCCATCTCTGCGTCCATGGCTGTCTGCCACTGAGAGGAGTAGAGAACCTCCATCGCCTCTGCGTAGGAGCGTGGGGTCGGGATGTCTGGTGCATCCGGGTCTCCCTCAGGGGCAATCAGCATGGACACGAGATGAGGTAAAGCAGCAGCAAAGCACTCAAACTCCTCCTGTCTGTCCTCAAGGACGTCCGTGCCAAGAGCACACTCACCCCCAACGGACGGAGGACAGACAGACTCAGACTCAGCAACGAGGCTAGCGGCGTAGTCTAGACGACATGCGGCAGCAAAGTCAACAAGCTCAGCGACTAGAGCAGACGCAGCAGAGGACTCAAAGGTAGGGTCAGTGACAACAGTGGCAAGGAGACGCGCGACAGTAGGACTGGCAGCACGAGTAAGGTCTGACGGCGGGTCAGCAACGTCAGAAAGAGAGGACGCAGGAGGAGACGGCAGAGGGACGCGCTGTGGAGCAGTGGAAGGACGCAGGGTCATATAGTGAGTGCCAAGGACAGGAGGAGGACGCTCACGCGGAGCACGACGACCAGCGCGGACAGCTCGGACAGGCGACTCTGGACGCGACTCAGGCGACTCTGGACTAGACTCAGGCGACGGAGGACGAGACTCAGGCTCACGACGCTCAGTAAGACTGCCCGTCGGCGCACTGTAAGGAGAAGGACCAGGGAGTGGAGAGGCAGGCTGTAACTGTGACTGCGACTGGACAGGCGGTGGACTCAGTAGGGGAGGAGTAGGACCAGTAGAGGGCGGGAGACCAAGAACCTGCTGAAAGAGCGGAACGTAGTACGGCCGCGGCCGCTCAGCACCTCCAGCTCCAACCCCCTCAGCAGCTCCAGTCTTAGCAGCTCCAGTCCCAGCAGCTCCAGTACCTCCAGTACGAGCACCTCCAGGACCAGCGGCTCCAGCAGCTCCAGCACCTCCAGCAGCTCCTGCAGCACCGTCAGCAGCAGCAGTGCCTCCAGCAGCTCCCGCACCAGCAGCACCTCCAGCAGCTCCAGCAGTACTAGCACCAGCAGCACCAGTACCAGCAGCACCTCCAGCAGCTCCAGCAGCACCTCCAGCAGCTCCAGCAGCACCAGCACCAGCAGCACCGGTACCAGCAGCACCTCCAGCAGCTCCAGCAGCACCAGCACCAGCAGCACCTCCAGTAGCGGCAGCACCTCCAGCAACTCCAGCAGCACCTGCAGCACCAGCAGCACCTCCAGTAGCAGCAGCACCTCCAGCAGCTCCAGCACCAGCAGTACCCCCAGCTGCAGGGTCCGTGACACTAGTAGCGCCACTCCGGAGACTGCAGCGACGAGTGTACCACTCTCGGAGCCGCTGGGGAGAGGGCAGCTCCCGCCTAGGAGGGGAAGCACGAGCACAAGCTCCAGCAGCACCTCTCCTGAGGCTGCAGTACTGTAAGTACCACTCACGCAGCTGCTGTGAGGAAAGAGCGCCTCCAGGTGTAGCACTCTCAGTCGCAGCACCCTCAGGCTCAGCACCCCCAGACTCAGCACCCCCAAACTCAGCACTCGCAGGCTCCGCACCCCCAGACTCAGCACCCGCAGGCTCCGCACCCCCAGACTCCGCAACCCCAGGCTCCGCACCCCCAGGCTCCGCACGCTCAGGCTCAGCACCCCTAGCAGGACGAGAGTCGACAGCTACCTCGACAGGCTCAACCGGGTCTACCTGGGACACACCTGAGGGAGCGGCACCCTGAGGGGGGAGGGGGTCTACCACAGCAGCACCTGGTGCGAGGAAGAGAGGCGGGGGGGGGAGCGGGGCAGTGCGGTAGAGGAAGAGGCGGTAGTAGGGCACCGACTCGTCAAAAGTGACGTCCTGAGAGGGCAGGACACGGCGCGAGGTGGCGTGGTAAAACTGCCAACCAGACGCGTCCGGGACAAAGCCAAGGAAGACACAAGGAACAGCGCGAGAGGAGAGCTTGTCCGCGGACGTATCGCGGACAAAAGCTCGAGATCCCCAGACCCGGAAACGCGACGCATCGCCAACCTCCCCCGTCCACAGTAGTGTGGGCGAGGTCTCCGGCAAGGAGACACGGGGCCAGAGGTTGAGCTGATGCGCAGCGTACCGGACCGCAAACTGCCACAGAAAGTGGGGGGCAGCCGCATGGATTAAGGAGGTACGAGCGACCTCCATGACCAAGCCAATGCGGCGCTCAGCAACCCCATTCTGCTGTGGAGAGGCCGGAAGCGTGAACGACTGGCGGATACCGTGCTCCGCACAGTAGGCTGCCAAGAGGTCGGAGGAGAACTCACCACCTCTGTCTGAGTGCAGACGCAGGACAGGAAAGTCCGAGTGGAACCGCTCGCTGAGCTGGAGACGAGAAGCGTGGATCCAAGGGATCAAAACATCAGGGACCTCACCCTTGGTGCGCAAGGGGAAGACCGTGGTGTAGCGCGAGTAGTCGTCAACAACGATCAGGAAGTACCTCTCCTGACCGTGTCCACGGACGCAGGCTGGGCCCCACACGTCCATGTGGAGCGTCTGCAAGGGAGCAGTCGTCGGGGGAAACGAGGAGGAGTGAGGAGCGGCGCGCTGCCGCCCCTCGACACAGGGAAGACAGGGAGGAGCAGGCGAGGGTGGGAGGGGAGGGAGTACCCGGGGAAGACCAGAGACAAGGTACCGTTTGTGCATGGCACGAAGGCGCTGCACTGACGGGTGACCAAGGCGGTGGTGCCAGAGGACAGTCTCGTGCGCCAGAGAGCGACACAAGCAGGGGGCAGACAGCTGACCTGACGCAGACGCAGACGCAGCGACCTGAGGGGACTCAGTGGTCAGTGTGTACAGGTCCGACCCCGGCTGCCTAGTGAAGGTAGCTAGGTGACGGCCCGTCCGAGCACACGTGCAGTGTGTCACGCGCTCGTAGGCAGGGGTGAACTGGTGGACACCCCCGTCCTGGAGCGCACAACCCGCCACCAAGTTCGTAGAGAACGAGGGGAGGTGGAGACCGGACAGTGTGCCCGACGAAACCGCAGGACAAGGAAGGACAGTGGAGGAGGTCGCAATGACCGGACCCCCAGAGGGGTCAGCAAGGGAGACAGCAACTGGCCGAGCAAGCTGCTCAAGGGCAGTGCGGTCACGAAAGAAACAGCGAGAAGCTCCTGAGTCTAGAGTGAAGGTGTGCAGTGCCTCAGTGGACTCAGTACCAGGGGGCGCAGACTCACTAGCACCTAGAGCAGCAGCCTCACCAACACCTGGGGCAGCAGACAAGCAAGCACCTAGAGCAGCAGCCTCACCAGCACCTGGGGCAGCAGACACGCAAGCACCTATAGCGGCAGCCTCACTGGTCCGAATGCCCGGGTCGGGCGGAACACGCAGGTACTGGTCACCCTCTCCACTAGTAGACAACACATACATGGCAGTGAGAATAGCATCAAAGTCAAGAGCATAGATATCAATGTTCTTCTTCATCAGGTCAGCCCAGCGGGGCAGCTCAGTGGCAGCAGGGAACTGAGTGCGCCAAGCGTCGTCAAGGCGGGAGAAGCAGCGCTGCGTGGTGTGCGCCCTCCCACAAGTCTGGCCAGTGCGGTCACCAGTGCGGATGACGTACGTGCAGCTAAGGCCACCCCCCCCCCCCGTGCTGAGAGTACCACTCACGAAGCTCCTGGGACGACGGAGTGTGCTGCTGCTGGCTCTGGCCACCGCCAGCGCCTCCACGACCACCACCGCCGCCGCCACCACCTCGACCACCACCGCCTCTGCCGCCTCCGCGTCCACCGCCGCCCCAACCACCGCCCCCACCCCGGCCACCTCCTCCGCTGCTGCCGCCTCCACCCCCACCGCTGCCACTAGCCCCTCCAGCCCCGCCACCACCCCCGCTGCCGCCACCGCCCCCACCACCACCTCCCTTTCCCCCTTTGCCCTTGCCGCTTCGGCGCCAGCTCGGAGCGGACGCAGTCCCGACCTGCTCAGTACCAACTAGGTCGACAGCAGCAGCAGAGGCGACTGAGGGGAGAAGGGGGGAAGGGGAACACCCCTCGAAGAAAGGGGTGCGGGGGTCGCCACGAGAGGCAGCTACAGCGACTATGCTAGTCTCAGCTGCAAGCAGTTCCTTCTCGAGCAGGTCAACGGTGAGCTCAGTGGGGCAGCGAGCGAGGAAGTGGTCCCTGACCGCACGTAGAGAGTCAGGCAGACGGGTGACAAGGTGGTAGAGAGTGAGCCAGAGCTGGGTGGCAAGAAACTCAGCGGGCATAGCTGCACGGAAGCGAGCCTCACTAGTGCGGAGGTGTGTGGTGAGGTCAGCGACTGTGGCGAAAGCGGACAGGTCTGGGAACAGGTAGGGGAGCGAGAGACGGCCTAGCGCAGCAGAGGCAGGTGAGGAGTAGCGTGCAACTACAGCAGTGTACAGTGCCTGCGCAGTTTTGTGCTGGCCAAAGTGCTCGCGCTCATCTACCGGCAGGGAGTTGCGAATAGCAAAGCGAGCATGGGCGTCACGAGTCTGCCACTGTGAACGGGCAGTACTGTCAGCAGTAGCAGTAGGGGCAGCAGCATTGCCTAGCGCGTGATCGTACAGTGAGATATCCTCCTTGGCAGTGAGCTGGAGGAATAGGTGCAGGTCATCGAGCCAGGTCTCAAACTTCAGTGGGCGGCCCTCAGCATCGAAAGCTAGTACAGAGGGGCTAGCCATAGTTGAAGTAGCAGCAGTAGCAGTAACAGGAGTAACAGCAGCAACTGTAGCAGTAGGAGCAGTAGTAGTAGCTGGTGGGGCACAGTAGGGCGGCGCGGCTCGGCCAGCGCAGCGCGGTTCGGTTCGGGCGGCGCGGCTCGGTTCGGGCGGCGCGGCTCGGTTCGGGCCGGGCGGCTCGGCCTGGGCTACGTGGCGGAGCGCGACGGGGGGCGTGCGCGTGGGCGGCTGTAGCGGGCGGGCCGTGGCTGTGCGTGGGCCGGACTAGCGCGCTGGCGGCGGCCTAGTGGGGTGTCGCGGCGGCCTAAGGGCGGGCTGCGACTCTCTGGGCGGCGGTCGACGGGCGGCTAGGGGGCTGCTCGTGGGCGGCGACGGTCGCGCGGGCGGCTAGGGGTCGGCGCGCGCTAAAAAAACCGGTCGCGCGCGGGCTGCTAGCGGGCTACACGCGCCAAGAAAAAACGGGCCGCGCGCGGCACTAGTGAGCTGCGCACGGGCAGCAGGAGGAAGAGAGGCGCACGAGGGCGCACTAGGAGAGAGGCGCTCGAGGGCGCTAAGGAGACACGGCGCTCGAGGGCGCTTCTAGCGGAACGGTGGGCCCTATCGGTCCTAGGTTACGACCTAGGCTCGCGATACCATGTTAAAATGTGAGAGAGAACGAGGATGATGAAACTAGCAGAAAGTTGGGTACAAGTAGGAAACCCTAAGTTGTGTTGTACCCCCTAAGGCTAAACCCACTATAGCCTACACAATGTAAACATACAATGTTTGACACTAGAAACCCTGGAAAAGCAGTTGATGAATATAATTGAGCGTTAAGAAATGCCAATCCTGCTGGAATGGAAAAACGTGCAGCTTTAACGAGCAAAATGAAATTAAATGTTCTTCCTTTATTATGAAATAAACGTGCAGCTGTTACCTTAATGTTACTTGGTTACCGTATCGGGTAACAACGTTATTCGAAGTGGTGCATCATGATTATGCTTTATAGCTCATCGGGATTTACTGTACACATTTGTATTCAGGTAACGAATCACTTTTAAAACAGTTCAGGGAAGACCGACACAGTGACGCGCGTAGTGTTGCAATTCGGCGCTGCAATCAACTTGTATTGGTTTCGACCAATCAACACCTTTGCAATGACCCTTTCTCAAATTGAGGAACAAATCGCATCTGACCATGCAATTCGCACACGCGGTGTTACTGGTTTTCTTGTGCATCCCGAAGTATCAGTCATTTCGCCGATCACACATTCGTTCCCACCCGTAAGTAACTTTGCAGAATGTTTACGTTCAGACGGCCCCAATCCTCACCTCGCATGATTCTAGTATGTTCGCTAGTAACTGAAACGTTGATCTCTGGACACCTACCATTAAGTAACTAGGAATTAGCTTTGTGGTAGGTTTAGCTTCCCATCATTTTTGGGATGTGCGTGCGTGCGTGCGCGCGCGCGCGTGCGTGCGTGCGCGCGTGCATGCGCGCGTGCGCGCGTGCGCGCGTGCGTGCGTGCGTGCGTGCGTGCGTGCGTGTGTGTGTGTGTGTGTGTGTGTGTGCGTTTTTGCTAGGGAAAATATGCGAATGGTAACTTTTATGGGGCTCTATAACGCGTACGGTAACTATTACATGGTGTTTTCGCGTGTTTGGTAACTCTCTTCATGCGTTTGGTAACTAAACTCTACCAGCAGATCACGCGAATTGTATCTAAGAAAATTATCAGGTCTGAAATGACCCTGATAAATGGCGAACTAGGTGTGGTAACGGTAACGAGTGAATTGTAGGGTGCATGACGGGCCTTCCGCCGAGGTTGGGAATTGTCGAGGCAGAGGACCGGAGCGCGGGTTACCTGCCAAGCCTTGAGTGCTGTGTGCAGTGTGAATAGTGGCGGGAACAGTAGTCATTGCGCGTGTGGCGTGTGATAACAGCGAACTGTTGCAAGGAGGCCCCTCTTACGAGAGTGCGTGTACATCCCGGAATTTTCGGCTGCGGAGATACTCAGAGAGGACTGGGTGATTTTTTATTCTATCCAAGGGCACCCAGTTGTCTTCCGTGGGCGTGAGGTCTTTCCAACGAATTAGAAACTCGATCCTGCGAGCTCCACGTTGGTCACGAACTCGGTAGCTCAGAACCTCCTCAGGTGTGATGATTGGCTCCGTTGGTGGTCGTGTCATGCTGGATGGGCGGCTGCGTAGCAGTTGGCTTGTGGATGGGACGTAAGGGCAGAGGAGGCTAACGTGAAAGGGCGGGCTGACGTACCTGTCAGCGGGCAGGAGGAGGTGGGTGGTGACAGGTGTTATCATGTGGCTGATGCGAAATGGCCCACAATATCGGGGGCAGAGTTTCGGGGTAATGGGCAGGCGAAGGTTCTGAGTAAGTAACGGGTCGACGGTGGCGATCGGCGTTGCGCTTAGTGATGATGTTTGACTAATTGATGGCGTCTGCTGCTCGGGTCCGGGCGGCCTGTAAAATTTCGGGGAGCTGCTGTGCGCGTGGGACCGGATTGTCGGAATTCGGCGTCATGGATACTGTAGGGCTCTGTCCGTAGTTGAGGTAAAACGGCGACTGCTGTGTCGTGGCTGACATGGAGTTGTTATATGCGAATTTAATGAGCGGCAGCTCCTGCTCCCAAGTCGTCGTGGCGCCGCACGTGGCTCGAGTTAACTGCTCCATTGTTTGATTGGTCCGTTCTGTTTGACCGTCGGTTTCGGGGTGGTACGATGAACTGAACTGTAGTGGCGTGCCGAACTGCTGCCACAGGTTCCTCTAGAAGTTGCTGGTGAATTTCGTGTCACGGTCGCTGATGATCGCTGCAGTCGAACGATGGTGGAGATGAAGAGTCGGCCCGTTTCTTCGGCTGAGATTGACTTTCTGCAAGCTGCGAAATGGGCCATCTTCGTCAGCCAATCAACGACGACCAAGATCGCGTCGTTCCCACTCGCTCCAGCCGGTAACCTCATAACGAATTCCATCGTCACTTGCTGCCAAGCACGCTCTGGGGGTGGTATCGGCTGCAACTGCCCTGACGGTCGCTGTCATGATGATTTCATGAGCTGGCAGGTGGGACACGATGCCACGTGTCGTTGCACGACGGTCAGCATCTCGGGCCAGTAGTAATACCGCTGCAGTTGCTGGCGTGTTTTCTCAACCCCAAAATGTCCTGAGGCAACCCCGCCATGTGCCTCCTGTAGCAGTAACTCCCGTAGCAAGGTATAGCCCGGTACCCAAATACGATCGGTACCGGTTTTTACATAATATACCCCTTTTGCTGCTGCGAACTGCTGCAAATTTCCTTGTGTGAAGAATGGTTCTGTCTGGTAGCCAAGGGTAAATAGTCTTGTAAGCACTGGGCTGGTTTGGGTGAGTAGTATGGCGTATATTTGGGCAGTCGGGCAGATCAGTGCGTCGGCGATATTTGAGGCTCCCTTTTTGTAGGTGACCGTGTGGCGGAAGTTGGACTCGAGGAAATTGAGCCAACGGATCTGTCGTGGATTGAGATGGGCCTGTGCGTGAAGGTACTGTAGAGATTTGTGATATGTCAGTACTGTAACGTCGGTGCCGGTCAAGTAGCAGCGCCATACCTTGAATGTGTGCACGATCACGAACATTTCGCGGTCGTGTATCAGATAAATCTTCTCGGGCGGGTGCAGTTTTCGTGACTCGTATGCGATGGGCTGTAATCCGTTGCCAAGGTCTTGTAGCAGTACTGCTCCGATGGCGATAGCGCTAGCGTCGGTAACCACTTCGAATGGGTGGTGTGGGTCGGCGATGCGCAGTACGGGTGATGAACACAAAACAGTTTTCAGGGCAGAGATGGCAGCATGCTCTTCTCCTCCCCCCCCCCCTCCCCCCCCCCCCCCCCCCCCCCCCACCACGTAGAAGCGACCCCCTTCTGCAGTAAGTCTGTCAGTCGGGCACGTAGCCGTGCCAAGTCGGGGACGAACCGGCGGACATAGTTAACAAACCCCAAAAAGCTCTGGAGTTTCGTGATATTGGTCGGGGGGTGCCGCGCCTTGACGGCATCCAATTTTTTCGGGTCGATCTCAACTCCAGCCTCTGAAATAACGTGCCCCATAAATTTTAACTTGTCCATAAAAAACTCGCGCTTTGAACCCTTTGTCAGTAGTCGGTTCTCGTTTAAAATCTTGAGACTTCTTCCAGATTTGTTAAGTGATGTTGCTTGTCGCGGCTGTAAACCAGATTGTCATCTAGGTAAACTATCACACATTTATCTAAAAGCAGTCTAAACACCTCGTTTATGGTCATCTGAAACGTTGTTGGCGCGTTGGTCAGCACGAATGGCATTAGTGTGTGCTCGTATGACCCGTACCTAGTTCTAGAAGTTGCCTTGGCGCAGTCGGTCGGTTCGACTCTAATTTGGTGGTAACCGCCACGTAAGTCAATCCTAAAAAAAACCTGGCTGTTCGCAGCTGGTCGCTCAGTTCGTCGGCGCGGGGGATGGGGTATCGCGATTTCACCGTTACCCGGTTTAGTGCGCGGTAGTCGATGCACATGCGAAACCCTCTGTCTTTTTTTGGTGTGAACAGCATTGGTGCTGTGAACGGTGACGAACTCGGTCTGATGAACCTTTTCTCCAGTAACTGCTTCCTCAGTTCATCTAACTCGGGTTGTGTCAGTCGGAACTGTCACTGTACGGTTGGTTGTGCTCCCGGATCTAACTCTATGCGGTGGTCAAGTGCTCGTTGGGGTGGCAGTCCCTCCGGTAAATCATCGGGAAAGATCCCCGAGTACCATTTCAGTAGCTCCTGCAGTTCGGGGGGTACAACTACCAACAATATTTGAACATCACTTGGCTTCTCGGCTTCTCCCACCTCCGTGATATCTACTGTGTATACGTCAGCTCCAACGGCGACGACCCGTTTCATCGTGACGGCATTGACATGGACCGTTGAAGACTCAGGCGACTGCCAGCAAGTTTGTCGTGCCCATCTAGTGTCGTCACGAGCACTATGTAAACCCAATTTTTTTCCCGCGGCGAATCTTCACTCTCTCCACCTTCTCCCGTATAGCCAGCATCGTGCCGTCAACTAAGCGTGCGTCAATCTCAGGTAAGCAGCGGCTAAGTGTCAGTTGCAGTTTCCTTGCAGTTGCGGTATTAACTAAGCTGTGATTTTCTCCTACATCAATAAGAATCTTCAATGCTACACCCGTGTATTTTCCCGTGAATCAGTATTGGGCAATCTTTTAATGTACCCCCCTTATTCAGCCGAACCCGATCGATTGCATGAATCGGTATCGCCATTAGGTAAGGGTCAGTTGTGAAAGATAGAACGAGGAAATGGGAGCGCAGTTGGCAGAGTGGTAGAGGGGGGAGATGGAGGAGCAGCTGCCGGGGACATCAGAGAGGTCGGGTTAGAGACCTCAGACGGGGATGGTGCGATGGCAGGAGAGGTAGGAGGTGAGGGAGCTGGTGCAGGCGGAAGTTCAGGATCAAAGTTAGCCCACACAAGAGAGGGTGGTCCGGAGGGAGGATCCCCCCCCTGAGGTGGAGTAGAAGGGGCGAGACTCATCAAAGACGACATCGCAGCCCCCGAACTAGTTGTTGAGTGGAGGGGTTGAGGATGAGGTAGTCAGGGGAGTCAGTGTTATGTCCAAGATAGATGCAGGTTTGAATTTTTGGGCCGAGCTTGCCACCTTGCTGCCTCCGAGCCTGGGGGTTGAGCAGAGGGTGTTTTCCCGAGCCAGAGTGTGGTGGGAGTGGTGTCGGGAAGATGTGGGTGAGGGTAGAGGTTGTAGAGGAGGGCGGCATGGTGGAGGGCGTACTCCCAGAGTGAGAGTAGTGCGTTGGAGTGGCTAAGGAGGCAGCGAGCGATCTGCAACAATGTGTGATTGCGGCTCTCCGCTATGCCGTTTTGCTGTGGGCTGTCAGGATGGGTGAAGTTTTGTAGAATGCCGAGAGAGGAGCAGAAGGCTTTGAGTTTGTCATTGCAAAATTCACCACCACCATCCGAATGGAGGCGTTTGACCTTGGTGCCAAAGGTGGTCTGTGCCTGGTTAACCCACGTCATGATGGCCTCTGGAGCCTCAGCTTTAGTGTGGAGGAGGTGCACAGAGACGTAGCGAGACTGGTCATCAATTATTGCAAGGAAATAGCGATGGCCGCCTCGTGCGGCAACAAGGGCAGGGCCCCAGACGTCCATGTGCACCAGGTCCAGTGAGGCTGATGCGACAGAGGGTGAGGCAGGTTGGGGCTGTTGGCGCAGCTTGCTCTTGGTGCAGTCAAGGCACGTGGGAGCGGGAGAGTCAGGTGGAGGAGGAAGTGAGGCTGGTAGGTCGAAAAGAAGTTTCTTGCAGGCCATGTCAGCAAGCGTGCGGAAGCTCGGGTGCCCGAGCCGATGGTGGTAGAGGATGGTCGGGTTAGCGAGACTGCGACATGAGCATGGTATGATAGCAGCCTGTGCTTGGGTGGTTGACACATGTGGGATAGGTACACGCAACGTGTAGAGGCCACTGCTGTTGAGGGTGATGCGAGCTAAGACCTTGTTGGTGAGTGGGTCGACGATGTCACAGTAGTCCTCGTACTCCGAAATAATGGCGAGAGCCCGTGCCTCTTCAGTTTCTTTTTGAGCCACTAGATTGTGGCGTAGTGAATGCACGCACATGTCAGTGACTGTGCCGGATGGGAAGGCGGGGCACGGGACTGTGGACGAACTTTTAGCAAGATTGGTGAAGCTTGAATCAGCTCCCAAGAGAGGAATGGGTGTTGCGTAGTGTTTGAAGGAGAGTGTCTCCTTGAGTAGTGTGTGAGTAGCCCCACTGTCGAGTGTGAATTCTATGTATTGTGGTGCCTGTGATGAGGCGACGTACTGCAAAGTTGCTTCGTTAATCATGGCAGTGCCAGAGAACAACAAGTTGATGCGCACATAGGTTAGAACTTGAGCTTAGAACCCATACATCTATGCTGGAAAGTCGCCAGAAACCATAAGCGCACACCGTATAGTCGTTTACGCATATACGGTGTACGCAACGTACGTATATTCGTTGGGATAGTTCGGGCTGACCGGATAAAAAAACAGATTTCAAAAGTCGCGCACGAATTGCGAATGTGCGACTCAAAATGTACGCACGTCCCAACCCAATTTGTACGCACGTCCCAAACACCTTGTCACGCACACCTGTCAAAATTTGGGGACGTGGGAAAATTTGAACGTACTGGTTTGAGAAAAACGTGATTAGTGAAATGCCGACGATGGGCTTACCAGAAAAATCACGGAAGTCGTCGTGATTGTAAAGAGAGTGGTGCGGGAAGAATTTCGGCCAGAGATGTCGCGAATCACCGGCGACGGTAGGGATGAGCGACTTCACGAACGCCTGTTCGGTTGGCCTCGAACATGTTCGAGGCGAACCGAACAGGCTTTCTTTTTTGCCTTAAATGTTCGGGGCGAACATGTTCGGTGTTCGCCCGAACATGTTCGCCGTTCACCAAGCTCGGTTGGCCGAGGCGCGTCGAACACGAACATGTTCGTGTTCGACGGGGGCATTCGACGAACACATTGGTGTTCGTCGATGATTTGGCCGCGACCAATTTTAGGTCTCGGCGGTTTTGAGTTTGAGCTCAAACTCAAAACGCCATTAGCGCCAGCACCTATCCTCCCACAACCGCCTTACCCTAACCGCTTTACTTGCCACCACCCACCCTTCTTAGTGTCATTTCACAGAAATTACCTGAAGCTTGCGCATAGTTTCAACCACCTTCTTCAAGATTAGGGTAGTTGGTTAGAGTACAAAGCATGGAGCGGTCCACACAGTAAAAGGTGCGGCCTTTCCTCCGTGCGTTTAGGGAGGGTCTAGGTACATTAGGACCGTACATTGGAAAGCACAAGTTCGTTATTTTAAAAGGTTCTGGGTTTTAGGGCCCGTAGTAAAGTAACGGCTTCCGCCCAAATAGGATCTGCCGAACGAGGTGCACGCCTCACTCGGGAAGGTACACCTACGTCTCCACCACGACCTATGCAAGGTCGAGTAGGTGACGGACCTCGAGGAGCCGGTGCTTGTTTCGTTGGTGGGTTTCTGTCCGTTCCGGCGCCGACATCCCGTCACTCGTTTCGTTACTCTGGCGATATACCCCCTCCTTCTGGGCAGACGCAACCGGAGAGTGGCAGTGAGGAGGAGGATGAGGATGAGGAGGAGGAGGAGGAGGAGGAGGAGGAGGAGGAGGAGGAGGAGGAGGAGGAGGAGGGTGAGGACGAGGAGGATGATGACGAGGAGGGGAGCGGTGATGACAGTGAGACGGGGTGGGATCCCGAGACGCATGGCGGTGGGGAAGGGGGGGGGGGAATGATGAAGACAACGAGATGGATGCGTTGGAGCCAGAGGAGGTTGAGGAGGGGGTGGGAGAGGGTGGTGGAGGGGTAGCGAGCCCGGCGGCTTCACAGCATGTGGGTGAAGGAGGTGGGAGCGTGGGGGTTAAGGTGGGGAGAAGGAGAGCGTCCGTTGAGTTGCCGAAGCGGAGGAAGAGGGCTTCCAAGTAGAGACCACGAGCGTATCCCTGCAAATTCACTGGGGAGCCCTTGGGCGAGGGTCTGATCCATCCAGAGTTTCTTGACGAGGAGGGAGGGTCGGAGAGTAGTAAGGGGACTGGCAAGGGTAAGAAGAAACTGGGCTGGCAGGTTCAGATGTTCGGGCCGCAAGGGTCAGACTACAAGTGTCAGTGCAAGATTTGTACTGATAGAATTTCGTGGAAGGGTTCCACTCCTACACCTGGCGAGCGGCATTTCCAGAGCTACCACACAGCTCACATGCACGTAGGGATGAGCAAAGGGCGAACACGAACATGTTCGTGTTCGCCCCTTCTCGAACACGTCCTTTTGCCGAACCGAACACTGTTCGGTTCGACGAACAGTTTAGCCAAAAACAGGTGTTCGCTGTTCGCCTGTGGAGGCATGTTCGGGCGAACCTCGAACACGTTCGTGTTCGACACGGGGCGTTTTGCAGCAGCGCCACAAACACGAACGTGTTCGGGCGAACCTCGAACACGTTCGGGCGAACGATTTAAGCTGAAAAACAAAACCTGTTCGGTTCGCCTCGAACGTGGTGTTCGCCACTTTGCTCAAGCCTACATGCACGTGTGGCATCACCGTTTCACCACTCCAAGCGTTCAGTTGCCTGGCGAGACGTTTCCTCGTGGGGGCTACAAGGGTGTGCCGGATGGATACGTCGATCAATGGCCGCATGCCAAGTGCTGGCCGAATCTCGCAAAGAAGAAAGGGAAGGCGTCTGGAGGAGCTCATGGGTCAGGCGGGATTGAGCGCTACATGACGACCAAGCTGTCCATGGTGGAGCTACGGTAGGCGATCGCCAAGCTGGTGGTCACCTGCGACCTCCCCTTCCGCATTGTCGAGGCCGAGGCGGTGCGTGTCACATGCTTGCTGTACGAGGGGATTGGGCAGTATGTGGTGGACTGTTTGGAGTTTTGATGGTAAACGTGTACCAATGCGTCTCCAATCCATCCCCTTGCCCTTGAATACCCTCTCATTGTCTCCACCCCCCTCCAGTTTCGCGAGCTACTGGTCCTTCTAAACCGCAACTACGCGCAAAAGAACTTCATACCCTCGCATCGCGCTGGACGGTATCCTGCGACACAGTGGTGTTTGCAGCAGCCGCTCTCCATTCCGCCATTGCGGAGATGCTGGCGAAGGAGGGGGAGTCGGGGTGCAAGGTGTCGTTCACCATTGACATGTGGACGGCACCCAACGAAAAGGCATGGCTAGTGGTGCGGGTCACTGGATAGACGAGAACTTCCAGCTGCGCACAGCGGTGCTTGAGTTCCACGAGATGCACAGGCGTCATGGGGCCAAGGAGATGGCGCAGGTGGCAGAGGAGACGGTTGTGCAGTGGGGGTTAGAGGGGTGTTGTCTTGGTTTCACGACTGACAACGCCTCTAGCAACATTGCCGCCTTCAGGCGGATGTCGGAGGAAGGTGGTTGTCAGTGCTTCTTCAACTCGCGCATGCACTTCAGGTAAGTGTGGGAGTGTGCGTGGGCTGGTGGCAGGGGTGTGTGGGTGTGTGTGTGCCTTTGTGGGTGTGTCCCTACACCGTAGACAATGTGTAGGTGTATGGAGGAGTGGGGCGGTGCGGTTTGTCTTGGAGAGTGTGTGGGGTCTGGTTATACATGGGCATCGAGGGTGGGGTTTTAGCTCGACTCGTCCGAGATGCTCGTCAGAGGGCGAGTGACGATCTTGGATTTTTATGAGAAAAACTCGCCCGAGGCGAGTCGAGTTTAACTCGGCGAGCTTTTGTAACTCGTCACTTGCTCGGTCATGGCGACGAGCATTTTCTGGTGTTTTTTGTGCTCGTCGAGCTTTATTGAACTCGACGAGCATACAAAACTCGTCGCGTAACTTTTGCCTGGGGTTCAAATTAGTGGGAAAATTTGGGCCCAGATCTGAACCCGCCAAGTGGTCCCAACCACTTTCCCTACAGTTTCGCCAGCACATCCACACTCAATCCGTGAAGTGACAGATTTCCCACCACATCGAACGGTTCAATGGTTGGGTACAGATATGAGAAACGCGATTGTACCTGCGAATCACCTGCGATCTACTCAAAAGTGTTCGCAAACTGTTATCGCGAAACAGTTTGACGCGACTCACATCTCCTCCTCTCAATCCACCCCAGATCTAGATCTGCTCTAGTTAATTTACGAGTTTAGGGTTGGTTGCCGTGAAATGGCAGCCAGCCCTTCCACTTTCCCGTTATTTACGGGAAAGTCGCGTGGGATTTGGCAAGTGTCTAATTCGACCACGCGGTTCGAATTAGACAGTTTCGAACTTCGAACCTGTTCGGTTCGAAGTCCTAAACTCGAACTTAAAAGGTTTGAGCAAACGGTTCGTGCGAACTTTTTCAAGGTTTGCCCAAACATTTTCGACCATAAAAAAAGTTCGGTTCGAGTTACCTCGAACCTGTTTGAGCAAACCGAACCTAGGTTCGGTTCGTTGCTCATATCTAGTTACAAGGCACAGGGTGGCGAGTCGAGCATTACTTTTGCTCGGACGAGTTTCCCCCCAAACTCGCCCGAGCATGCCCAAAAGGTACGAGTCACGAGCTAAGTTGTGGAAGACGCTGGACGCGTCTTGCGTCTAGCGTCTAGACGCAGCGTCTAGACGCTAGACGCAAGACGCTGATTAAGACGCAAGACGCATGGGTAAAAAAAAATCGGGCAGCCCGAAAAAAAAAAAAAATCCCGCGCGCGAAATTGAATTTCGCCATTTCGACGCGAAATTCAATTTCGCGCTATTTAAACCCCTTCCCACCCATTTCGACCCCAAAACCAGCTCCCCAAGCCAATTTGAAGCCTCCCCCACCAAAATTGAACCTAAACCACTCTTCACCACTCCTTATCTACAGAACCCAACCTCTATGGTTAACCACAAAGAGGTTGGGGAGCACAAATCCCTCATTTGTGCTCCCCAACCTTCATTTCTTTCAAATCTCTTTCGAAAACCCTTAGGGTTTAGCTCTTTCCACCGCGCGCGCAACCATGTCTTCTAGTAGTAGCCCTTCGTCTAGTAGTTCCTCCTCCGCGAGCGAGAATGCCGTCGACGAGGGTCTTTCCGCTCGTGTTTCTCAGGAAATGGAGGGGGTTGAGAAGAAGTCTAAGCATCCCGAGCACCCGATCTACAAGCACTTCTATTTTTTTATGGATCCGAAGAAGAAGGGCGACCAAGTCGAGTGTCTTTTTTGCCACAAGAAGTTTTCGTTTAGTAGTAGCCGCGCTCCCGAGCATCTCGCCGAGTGGTACGACCCGCACCGGCGCCGCGAGGCGGGAGTCGTTTGCAAGGATGTGCCGAAGGAGATTTCCTCGGAGATTCGTGAGATGTTCGAGGTGAAGATTCAGGCGCGCAACCAAAAGGCGCGGGCGACGACCTGGCGCACATTGCGCGGCGCACGCTGTCCCAGGCCATTTCCGCTTCCCCGTGCGAGCGGCACATGGGATGGCGTGCACACGGCGCGCAGGAACAGGCTCGGGTCGGCCAAAGTGCGCGACCTTGTGTACGTTGCGCACAACTGGAATGTTGTGCACAAGTTCCACAAGGATGCGGAAGCGGGGCCTAGTGTGGTGGGGAGGAAGGGTGCAGTGGTGGAGGGGAACATCCCCCCCCCCTCCCATCCCCGAGGGGTACAAGTCGGAGGAGGATATGGAGGTGGAGGTGGACGAGGACGACGTGTGCCTCGATGAGTGGGCGAAGCAGGAGGAGCTGGAGAAGGAAGGGGAGGGGGAGGAAGAGGAGGAGGAGGATGAGGAGGAGGAGAGCTAGGAGACGTAGTGATTGCTGAGATATGTAGTAGTAGTAATGCATTTCGAGTTTGCTACTACTAGAGAGACATGGAAGGTTAACAATATAAGATGATGTGTGACCATTTTTGTGAAGTCTAAGAGTGGGGGAAAAATTATGGCACGGGGAAAAATTCACCCCATTGTGACATAGGTGCATGTTCCCCACCCTCCCCATGCCCCTTGGTACTTTTTTTGGTCTGCCCGAACTTTTTTTTTAGGCCTGCCCGGGTTTTCGTCTATTACTGCGTCTAATCCAGCCTCTCTAGCGTCTAGCGTCTTAGACGCTACGTCTAGACAGACGCGTCTAAGACGCTAGACGCGTCTTCCACAACTTAGGTCACGAGTATGCAAAAAGTTGAAATTTGCTCGTCAGAGTTTTGCTCGACTCGAGGCAAAAGCTCGGCGAGCAAGACCAGTGACGAGTCGAGTATTGCTCGGCTCGTCACTTTGACCATGTATAGGTCTGGTATGGGTTTGTGGGTCGCACTGACCATGTGTACTCACACTTCCCCTACGCTTTGCCACTATTGTTGTGTTCCGCGCGCAGGTGCTTGGCACACGTGATAAACCTTGCAGTGCAGGCAGCCTTGTCTATGGAGGCCATACGGAAGCTGTTGAAGATACTGAGAGAGATGGCTTAGTGGATTGGATTCTCGCCGCATCGCTCGGGGTCTTTCTTGAGCCTCCAGCGAACCTTGAACGCGCAGGCCAACCCCAACAAGCCGAAGCCGCCGTTGAAGCTGGTGCAGGACAGTCCTACGCGCTGGGGGTCGACCCACGATATGGTTGAGCGCACCTGTGTTCTGCACCCCATCACAGTCTACTTTGCCCAGACACAGGTATGACATGTGGTGTGCGTTTTGCTGTGTGGGTTTGTCAGGACGTGTTTACACATCCCCTGAATGCTTTTGGTCAAGCCTGTATGTTGTCGGAAGCCAAAATCTACCTTAAACCCCAATGTTACTCTTACTACCCACCAAACCATACCCTCTACCCGACAGGACTTGTCGAAGGCCGACAAGAAGGTGGAGAGCATGCGCCTGACAGACGCAGACTCGGAGACCCTGCAGGCTGTGAAGACATTCCTCAGCCCCTTCGCCAAAGTCTCAAAGGCAGCTGAGGGGGCGGCGTACCCGACTGTGGCGATGGTGGTGCCGTACTACAACGGCCTGATCGACGCCATGGAGTCGCGCCTTGCCAAGGGGCCATCTGCGACGCTGCAGCCGATGATCGTGGCGGCGCTGGGCCACTTGAAGAAGTACGCCTACATCACCAGCAACGAGTGCAGGATCGCCACCTTCTTGGACCCATCCATGAAGGCGGCGTGGTTCGACGACACGCATTGGGAGAAGCTGCATCCCGAGACGAACAGGAGGGTGAGGCCGCGTCCCGCGTCGGGCGAGGTGATCACGCTGGTACGCGACCGCGTGGCCGAGTACCAAGCCCGGGCTGCAGAGCTTGCTCCCCGGCCGACCACACTTGCGTCCGTTGCGGAGGAGGAGGGAGACGAGGTGGATGACGACGATGACGCCCAGTTTCTCCCTAGTCGCGTCTGTCGGCGAGCCAAGAGGCGGGAGGGGGAGGGGGGGGGGGGGGGGGGGGGGGGGTGGTCTGGTGTAGGGTGACGAGGTTAGCAGGTACTTGTCCGAGCGGGTGCGGTACGACGTGACAGCGCTAGAGTACTGGCGCACCGCCACCAACATGCAGACGCTGAGGCGCATGGCCCGGGATAATCTCGCCATTCCTGCCACGTTCGTTGCAAGCGAGCGAGTGTTCTCTCTTGGTCGCAACCTCATCTTCTGGAAGCGACACCGCCTGGCCTCTCAGAGGAAGCGAGCTGTCATGATTCTCAGATCCTGGTACAGTTCACACCCTGGCCAGAGGATCGGCGAGGGCCGTCGACCGAGAGAAATCGCACCACCAGAGTTCGCAATTGAGGGCAAGGGGGCGGAGGAGGACGAGGACGAGGACGAGGACGAGGAGGAGGAGGAGGAGGAGGAGGAGGAGGAGGAGGAGGAGGAGGAGGATGAGGAGGAGGACGAGGAGGAGGAGGAGGACGAGGAGGAGGAGGAGGAGGAGGAGGAGGACGAGGAGGAGGAGGAGGAGGAGGAGGAGGAGAAGGAGGAGGAGGAGGAGGAGGAGGAGGAGGCAGACGCAACTGGTGGCGAGGATGGTATTGTTGGTAGCAGTGGCACCATGGCGTAGGAATTTGTTTGACATTGTTTTCCCTGAACAGAACATCATGTTGTAGTTGTTGGTACATCTACCTAAACACGTAAACACCCTGCACCCCATTTGCTATCATCCTGCAAGGTCAAATTCATATTCGGCCTTGTGTAACTATATTGAAATTCCCCCCATGGGCGAACACGAACATGTTCGCCACGAACGTGTTCGTGTTCGCCCGCGGCAGCAAGTCATTCGCCTCCACAGGCGAACGACGAACACCTCTTTTCACTCAATGTGTTCACCGAACCGAACACTGTTCGGTTCGGCAAAAGGCCGTGTTCGCCCCCTGCTCATCCCTAGGCGACGGGATTGAAGGCGGCTACGCCGAAGAACGCGGGACAAGAATCCGCAGAGATAGGAGGATCATGATCCGCGTGTGCGGTTGAAACGCTCTGATACCATGTCAGAACTAGAGCTTAGAATGGATACATTAGTAATGAGCTAGAAGCTCTTTAAGTACATCCAAGATGGGCTAGGAAGAGATGGGAAGGGAATCGGGGGCAATCTCTAGGGGTTGGGGGTGATCCCAAGGCAATATCGAATTGGTGGGTTGGAGATTGCTTGGAGATCACATTTGGGTTTGGTTGGGATGTAATGTAGGTGTACACCCAACCAAACACAAAGTGCAAACTACACTACGCTAGGATATAGGCATGGGCAAAAGACCCAGATGGGTCGATTAACCCGACCCGACCCGAATTTTTTGTCGGATCGGGTCCTTATGTTGGGTCGAGTAGCGTATACTCGGGCGGGTATAAAATACCCGGTACCCGACCCGAGTGTCCAAAGTCGGGTATTTCAATACCCGTCGGATCAAGTATACCCGACCCGAAGTCGGGTCAGTAACCCGTAGTGCGGGTATACCCTAATCCGACGGGCTGTGCTTAGGGTTACGATTTTGAAAGGTCGACAAATGTCGACCTTTCAGATCACAGATAACAAAACTAGTGGGTTGGATCTGGCTATTGCGAGATCCAGCTCGGAATCTGGATTCCCAACCCCCCCCAAAACAACTTCCCCCCACGTAAAAGCACGTCTTCATGCAAAATGCTCTCCCAACCCCTCCTCACAGCTAGGGATGAGCAAGGTGGCGAACACCTGTTCGGTTCGCCTCGAACGTGTTCGAGGCGAACCGAACAGGTTTTGTTTTTCAGCTTAAATCGTTCGCCCGAACGTGTTCGAGGTTCGCCCGAACACGTTCGTGTTCGTGGCGCTGCTGCAGAACGCCCCGTGGCGAACACGAACGTGTTCGAGGTTTGCCCGAACACGCCTCCACAGGCGAACAGCGAACGCCTGTTTTTGCTTAAACTGTTCGCCGAACCGAACATTGTTCGGTTCGGCAAAAGAGGGTGTTCGACAAGGGGCGAACACGAACATGTTCGTGTTCGCCCTTTGCTCATCCCTACTCACAGCCCCCAACCTACGAAAGTTCAAATTTTGCTCCCCACAATCCCCAACTTACGAAATTCGCGAATTCTGCTCCCCACAGTCCCCAATTCATGAAATTTGTGAATTTCTGCACCCCCAAATCCCCGGCGTACGAAATTCGCAAATTTCGGCACCCCCAATTCCCCACCTTACGAATTTGGCAAATTCTGCTCCTCCGCGCCCCCAACTAACGGACATTGCATTGCGAAATGCTTCCCCCAACCCCCAACTTACGAGATTCTGCGCTATCCCTATCCAACCGTTTCCAGACAACCTAGATCTTACCTACCCGCCAACCTAGAATACCAATTCTCACCCTAAACTTAAGTCCATAATAAACTTACTTTTGCGTACAATCTAATAGAACAGAAAGAAGGGTATTCGGGTTACCCGACCCGACCTCGGGTATACCCGACCCGACCGCGGGTCAGAGATACCCGAGACGTACTGGGCGGGTCGGGTCAACATCCTGGGCCCAAATACCCGGGGTCGGGTATACCCGACCCGACCCGAACCCGACCTCGGGTCGGCCTAGACGGGTCGGGTCGGGTCGGGTCGGGCTAATGCCCATGCCTGCTAGGATATAGAAAGCACAAATACAAAGTGTGAGATTGAGGGCTAACACTAACAGGCTCGTGGGAAAGCCGAAATACAGGTCTTATTAGCTCGAACAGCTTGCTACAACGGACGAGCCACGGGCAGAGTCAGCTGCCAAACCGGCTCCTCAAGCGGAGACGAGCTTGGCTTGCCAGCCCGCCGGCTTATCACGGCTCACAACGAGCCAGCTCAGCCCAGACGTATACTGATGTGGCAGAAAGGAGCCTTACAGGATTGAAAGAGATAGTAGAGAGCCAAATTCCACAGGGATTGAACCCGTGCGCTGATTACTCCAGAGACACCTGCCATTGAGTGTGAATGCAAGAAGGAATAACCAGACTGGCAGGTGGACCGTGGAGGTGCAACATGGGCAAGCACAAGGGCAGTGACCCGTGTAAAACAGAGGACGGAGGGATTATCCCATCAAAATGAGCGTCTCCTCTAGGCATTCACTAGCATGAAGAAAGGAATGCTGGTGACTTTCTTTGAGGAAATTGGTCTATGAAAGTAGGCCAGTAAGGAGAAAGCAGAAACCAGAATTGGCCACACCAAAGCAACGCAAAGTATACATGGGCGTCAAGCCTAGTGTTTTTACTCGACTCGTTCGAAGTACTCGTTGGGGGCGGAGTAACGAGTATGTTTTTTTTTTAAACAAGCTCGGCCGAGTCGATGCAAGTTTTACTCGCCGAGTTTTTGTTGCTCGTCGTTTGCTCGCCTTGGAGACGAGCATTTTTGGCTACTCGGGGGAGTTTTTCGTGCTCTACGAGTTTTTAAAACTCGTCGTGCATACGGGAATCTCGTCCCATAACCCTAAGAGAGAAATTGCGGGAATGGTTGGGTACAGATCTGAGAAACGCATCCGAAATTGGCGAGCGGGTGATATTTTGTCGTGCCTACCACGAATCACCTGCGATCAACTCAAAGTGTTCGCGAACTGTTATCGCGAAACAGTTTGACGCGACTCACATCTCCTCTCAATCCACTTCCCCCCCCTCCCCCCCACCCCCACCCCCCACATCTCGACAGTCTTAGCTACCGCGCTCGATTTCTTACCTAGTTTCGTAGACTAGGCAACTTAGTGCCTAGCTGATCGCTTAGCATGTTTTACCTCGGCATCTTAGGAACGTTTCTATTTCGATCACACCAAAATGAGTCGCGACATTTCACTAAGATACAAACAGAGCATCATGTCGACGAATGCAACCTAGACATGTCTTGTCTAGGAAATTTACTAGGGTGGCAAATCGAGCATTACTTGTGCTCGGACGAGCATGCACCTAAAATCGTCCGAGCATGCCCAAAAACGACGAGTCACGAGTATGCAAAACGAGAAAATTGCTCGTCAGAGCTAGGCTCGACTCGAGGCAAAACTCGGACGAGCAAGACCATGGACGAGTCGAGTTTTGCTGGACTCGTCAGTTTGACCATGCATAACGCAAAGTTATCTGAGCACCACATTTAAACCACAACTCATGACACTAATGAAGGGGTGTAGGGGTAAATTCGTCTCTCGTGTCAGACATGTTTGGAAGACATAAAGTCGCTCGGAATTCAGGCAAATCAAGGTTCAGAAGACACAAACCGAGTCACTTCGTGTCTTACGAACCTCCAATTTCGTGTCAAACACGAGATATGAATGCGCCCTAACCCTAACCAGGTGCTTCACGAATTACTTTACTTCAATGCGTGCATGAATGTATGTATCATCATGTCACCCCCTTTGCTGCTAGCTCACGCTGAAGTTGGAAAAAAATGTTCAAATGTAATCGTGTGTATAGAGTATAAAAAACAAAAACAGAAAAAAACAACAAAAGAAACATACAAAAAACATAACTTCGCTTCCTTTCTGTTGAGCCTACCTAGAAATTCGCATGGGCTGACCGTAAACAAATACTTGAAAACTTGAGTTTGCAACGTGGCGAACATAATTTTCAGTATCAAAATTCAGATTTGAGTTCGCACAGCGGGTTAGCAACCTCGGATCTGAATTTCGAGATTGATGTGTATCATCCCCTCTTGTCCCACCGCCCAGCAATCCATTTCACCCCCTTCCATTCCCCAATCCCTTCCAGACTCGTCTTCCCCAGGACATTTCTCCATTCGATACTCATCGTACGTTTTCTTCCCTTCATGGCTCACCTGCCACGATGACCTTCGCTATCATCATAGCACTCATCATCACCACTATCCCTTGACCCAGCGTCTTAACCTGCCCGGGTCTATGTACGTCGTAGCGAGGCAGCTAGACATGAGGCACGGCGTGTAGCAAGTTAGTAGGCAAGTTAAATTCGAGATTCAGGCGATTTGGGTAGTTCACGAAAAATGCTACATCTGCGCATGTCGGGTCGGGTCTACAGCATCCACTTGCAGAAAAGTGATTGTGAGAAATTGATTACAAGCTACAGTCGATTAAGAGGAGATAGACTGGTGAAGAAGAGGCTTCAAAAGAGAAATAATGGTTAGAAACAACTGAAAAAGGGAAGTGAAGAGAAAGAGGAAAAGAATCGAAGGTGAACAAGAACGGTGAGGAACCCACATATGCACGTATGTATCATCACCCCCTTATGTTGTTACCTCATGCTCAACATGAGAAAAGCTCTCCTGTGAGAGGAAACTGACAGGACTAGACTGGAGCGTCACTAACAGGTAAGTAACTTGGGTGAGTGTGCTGATGGTAGCAGGAATGCTGCCAGACAGCTGGTTGCTAGAAAGGTCTCTGAGTAAAAAAGAAAGCAATAATATATAAAATCACTGGGGTTATAGTAAGGTGAGGTGAACGGATACAAGAGAAGACACAGAAAACAACAAAAATATAGAAATTGCGGGACAGAGATGAGGTTGAGTTGGGGATGAACAAACGAAGGTGAATAATGAATGAAGATTATCGTGCCTTGGAGACGGATGAGATGAGACAAGCAGCTACAAGAATGTGAAATAACGGGAGTGACGGAAATAAGATTTTACAGCAGGGCATGAGCATTCATCCAAACCAACCAATTGGTGAATAATGGATGGAAATGCGGGCTTCTAGAAGAATGTAAAACAACAAGAGTGACGGAATCATCATATTACGTTTCGAAGACATGGTCATTGACTTGGTGACAGGCGGTCAAGACGAGGCTTGAGGCTAGAAGAACGTGAAACAACATGAGTTACAGAAATATGATTCTATGGCATCCATTTGCAAAACAAATAGATGTCAGAGACAGATTACAAGGAATAGGAAATTAGGATAAGGTAGACAGGTGGAGACAAGGTTTTTATAAAGATATAATGAATGAAAACAAATGAAACAGGGAAAGGAGGATTCGAGGGACAGCAAAGAGGGTGAGGTATACTGAACAGCTGCGGTAAATATTCTTGGGCGAGCACACAGAAGATGTGGGAAGAAAATCAGAAAACATGTCTTTCTTACATGCTTGTCAGGTTGGTGAGAACGCCAATGTCAGCCGGGATGGAGCCGTTGAGCTGGTTGGTGGCAAGCGACCTGTCCCAGTAAGGGTGTTCAAATGGTGGGGCCAGTGCAACGAGCGCGAGTGGTTGCACAGGCGAGGGCATGGAACTAGGTAGAGACATTAGCGAAATGCAAGATGATTAATGTTTTCCTTTTTGGCGGGTACCTGGTTGGTTCGTGTAACGATGCGAGGCTAGTAGAATTACTTGGATGAGGAGATTGTCAAATCTCACTGCCGCATAACTTGCACCTACACTCTTTTTTGCCTCGTCATGAGTATTATTATTTTATTCGTCGCTACATCTGTCCCTGGCTGGGTAGATTACGATGCCAACGGTGATTATCTATGCGAAGCAAGTAATACTCGACTCGCCAGTGTGTGCTGCATCATCAAAAGGGTAAAAGGGAACCGGATGGCTATACGAAAGGCGTGCCAGTTTCTTTGTCAAGCACACACATAGATGTGGTGAACAGGATATCTACAGGTGAAAGCAGAAGCATGTGTGAAACTTGGCTTGTAAAAGCTATGCCATGGCAACAAAACAAGAGATGAGATCGGTTACAAGAGAAGATCACAAGGCAGAGGCACATGAGGCAGAAGCAGGTGAAGCAAAAGCACATGAAGCAGAAGGGCACGCTTGGAACATGGGAGAACTCGTTAGCGCACGTGGCCTTCAGGCGAGCCGTAAGCAAACGCGTTTGTAAGAGTGGAGTAAAAGAACTCACAAAACTGTCAGTGCTGTCAGCTTTGTGATTGAGGAGGGCACGGAGCCAGAAAGCATGTTGGAGTAGAGATAGCTGAGGGAGGAAAGGCAAGACAGGAGCATTGACAGGATACAATCGCCATCTTTGTCCTGATATTTAATGTCCGACATCCACAACCTCGCATGTCGCTGTAACTTCTCAGGGCTTCCTTTCAAGATCTAGGGATGTTGATTCGCAACAAAATGTCGCAAGCTCTTTCCTGCTAGGCAGCGGCTGCAGCTGTGTCATCCGCTCAACAACCAACTTATGCACCCCAAACATCTTTCCCAACCCTTTCACTTCCTCCAACCGCTCCAAATCGCACTCCCACAACGTATCCAATCCCAACCCGTCCACTCAAAGAACTCTACTCACATATGAGGGAGCTCATGGTTCCTGCCCGAAACTCTACCGAAATCAGCAGGCCCAGTAACACATTTTTCTTTCCTCGGTTTCCCACTTACGTGACTTTCATAACTGCAGACCGCGGACACTCTGTATTTATAGCAACTGCCCAACCCCACCCCCAGTGTAAAGTGCTTTAAGGCTAGCGCGAATACACATAGTATGCTGGCCATGGAAATTTTGACTTTCTCCCACACTTGAGGTTCACCACTAGAGTTGAGAGCATTTGGCCCGCACGGGTCGGGCTGACCCGACCCGACCCGTGGTTTAGCCCGGGTCGGGTCAGGGTTTCCATAGGTCTGCCCCGTACGGGCTGACCCGACCCGACCCGGGCATAAACCCGACCCGTGAGCCCAGTTCGGGCCGGGTCGGGCCGAGGCACGGGCCAAGCTCGGCCCGACCCGAAATCGGGTCCAATTTGACGATTTCGGGTCGGGCCGAGCGCGCGACCCAATTTCGACAAGTCGGGGCCGAAACCCTAACACAAAATGAAATCGAAGGGATTTTTTCCCCGTCGATTTCATTCAAACCGTCACCCTAGCTCCAGCGCGATTAGATTATACTGCCTTCTATGGCACCTTACCTACCTCCGCTCTTAGGATAGGGCCCACGAAATCTGATATACTTATGTTCCTACCTTCATGGAGTAGTTTAGGGAAGACAGTGGGATTTCAAGCTAGTCTTAAGTTTGGTGTTTCAAGCACATTTCGACCCAAGCAAGTACAGTTCGCATAGTTTCGTGGCGGACGCTTGCACAGTGACGGGAAGGCCGCGAGCTAAAGTATAGTCCTATATACAGAATCGCGTAGCAAGTAACACTGCACCATTTTGTATTGGAGATTAGGGGCTGCACCCAGGGTGTCGGGGCGGCCGCGAGCAAACGTTCATGCGCCAGTCATTGTTCGCGTGTTAACACCTAGGAAAATGTCGGAAACAAACAGTGAACCGGCCAGCAGCAAGGCCATCCCTGGAGCCTCACTCGCCGGGCTCGGAATCCCATCCTTCGGGGGGGAGGGTTTCCAGTTGGGGCAGCTCTCCCCAGGTAAAGACCCTGCTGCCCACGAAGAGGCCATTATAGCGAGGCGGGCTTCGGAGAACCAGCGATGGCTGGAGGCTCAAGATAAAATGCTGGCAGATGCTCATCTATCTCAAAAAGAGCCACGTGACCAGACGTGGCGGCCGGGGAATGCGGCTGTAAAAGCTGCAAGTGACAGCGAAAGCGATGACGAAGGGGGGGGGGGCTTTGCGGGCCAGAAGAGAGCGCGCGGGGGTGGGCCGAGTGGTGCAGGTGGGTTTAAGGCTTCAGCCGAGTCTGCACCAGACGCTGGTGCCCCTGCTGCTGCCGCTGCTGCTGCTGCTGCCGCTGCTGGTGCTGCCGCCACTGGTGCCGCTACCGCTTCTGCTGCTGCTCCTGCTGCTTCCCGGCGTGTGCCCGCTGCTACTGCTGCTCCGCGTCCGCGCGCTGCTGCTGCCGCTGCTGCTGCTGCTGCGCCTGTTGCAGGCGGGCGCGCTGTTGGTATTTCGTGGGCCTCTATCAATGCAATGCGAGAGGCCAACCTGAAGCCATCCGCAGCACAGTTGGATCCTATAGTGGAGAGCGCTTTGAAGAGGGGTGAGCTAGGTTTGGTTAAGGGTATGTTTGGGCCAGTGAACAACGAGGCCAGGCGATGCAGTACCTGCAACTCGTGGATCAAGTGGAAGCAAGGAAACACGTCTTCGGGGGCTAGGCACTTGACGAGGAAGCGCTATCCTAGCCTGCAGATTTGGGTCCGTCGCTTCATAGACCCAAACAAGGAGAAAGGGCTAGTTTTTCCGGACAGGGGTTGGGGACCTACGGTACCTGATCAGACCAAATGGCCATGGGAGCACGCTGACACATGGCCTGACGTTCCAGCAGGCGGGGAGGGGGGAGGTCCGAGCGGGGTGACTGGAGCTGGCGTTGGGGGTGGGGGGCAGACCACCATCGACCAGTATGTTACGGCGCGCGTCGGAGAGCGGCAGCTGCGTGAGGGGCTGGTGATGCTGTTTGCCGGCCTCGACTTGCCGTTCCGATGTGTCTCGATCCCTGCGGTAAGATCGATTTCTGTCACTCTTGTACCTTTGCTCGTGGGTGTTGTATTGTGTACCCACATCCAGTAACCTCTATCCTAAATCCACCCATCGACCCACTTATGTGCTCTTTCCCATGCCAGTTCCGTGACTTTGTCGCGCTGTTGAACCCCGATGTGGCGCGACATCTCGGCACACGTTGGCGCTTGGCACGTGACCTGCTCGCCTCTGGTGACAGGCGCGAGGCCGCAACGGCTCAGCTTAAACAGATGGTGACAGGCGACGGACTGGCGGGGAGGGTGACACTCACCACTGACATTTGGACCAGCGAGAACAAGATCGCGTTCATGGTGGTAACAGCTCACCGTCTCACCGAGGACTTCAAGCTCCAGCAGATGGTTATCGACTTCAGGCCGCTGGAGGGCTCCCACACGGGAGAAAAGATTGCGACAGAGTTGGAGGCGGTCATTCGGGAGTGGGGGTTGGGTGACTTGTTCTTCGGCGTTACCACCGACAACGCGGAGAACAACAACCGGGCGGTGCGCCTGCTGGCCGGTGTCAAGGACAACATACCGGGGTCACGGCCGCGTGACCCCCTCCTGCTGTCCCTGTCTCGGCACTTCAGGTACGTTTCATGTTGTACTTCTTTTGTGTCTTGTGACATACCTTGCTTTCTTCGGAACGTTGTAGACCCACTACCACTTTCGATGCTGTGTGCCTCTCCTTATGGACTTGCTTGCCCCCCCAGGTGCGTGGCCCATGTTTTGAACCTGGCCGTGCAGCTTGCCCTGGCGGTTGACACAGTTGCTGAACCGCTCAAGAGGTTGCGAGCTGTGGCCCACCACATTGGGTGGTCAGTTCAGCGATCGGAGCGGTTCTTTGACATCCAAAAACGGTATGCGGCGACCCTGGCGGGGAGGGCGACGGGGGAGGGAACAGAAGAGGGAGGGGGGCAGGCGGCGACGGAAGGGGGAGGCACGTGGCGGAAGGTACCAGTTGACTTGCGCCTGATAGTCGACTCGGACACGCGCTGGGGTTCCACGCTGGAGATGGTGATCAGGGGGTTGGCGCTGTGCATTCCTCTCACGATGTTCTTCGATGAGACTACTGTAAGTATTATCGCTTGGCGTAGGTGGTGTGATGGGCTAGCAGCATCACTTGTTCTGATTTTTCATTTACAATGGCCCTCCAGGGCAACCCCCCCCCCCCCCCCCGTTAAACTACCTCCCGAAACCCCAACCCGTATCCCTCTACAACCCGTTCCACTGCCCCCCTCCCAGCCCGGCATCTCCAAAGAGACACGCGAACAATGGGCGAAGATCAGGCTGTCCGATGCGCACTGGGCATCTCTCAGGGAGCTGCGTGATTTTCTCGAGCCTTTTGATGCTATCACCCTGTTCGTGGAAGGGTCATTGTACCCCACCATGGCAGGTGTTGTTCCCCAGTACAACATGCTGCTAGATATCCTGGACAAGGCTTTGACGCTACCTAGGCTCACGCCGCTGCAGGAGGAGCTGACCAAAGCGGCAGTAAGCAAGTTGGAGCGCCACATGGGGGGGGGTGAGCGAGGAGGCAGCGATTGCCACCTTCCTCGATCTGCACCTCAAGACCGCGCCTTTCAGGCTCAGGCAGCGATCGGCGCGGGCGCCCATTGTGGTGGAGGCGGGGGGGCATGCCAGGGGGGCCCGGACACTCGACCTGGATGAGGAGAGGGTGAAGGCGCTGGTACGACAGCGCCTTCCGCCGTACCAGGCAGCAGCCCGTGCAGCTGCAGCGGCACGCCTTGGGGGTCAGGTCACTAGCGCGAGGGGAGTGGCGGGACAGGGCGAGGCTGCAGTGCCCGTGGCTACAGGGCGTAGGGGGGCTAGGTCACGTGGCGTGCTCGACTTTCAGGCTATGCTGCAACAAAGACTGGCAGAGATGGAGGCAGAGGAGGGGGTGCAGACACAGGACGAGGTAGACCAGTACTTGGCTGAGATGAGGCAGGTTGGTGGGTGTTCCTTGGCGTACTGGCGCGGGAGGGAGGAACATCTGCCCGGGCTTAGAGGCATGGCACGCGATTATCTGGCTATTCCTGCCACCTCTGCAGCGAGTGAGCGCGCCTTCAGTCAGAGCAGGAACATCGTCTGGTGGCAGAGGCACCGTCTTAGCCCACAGCAGATGCGAGCGGCCATGATGATCAAGACATGGGCGGATCACCATGAAGGGCAAAGGATTGAGATCCGTGGCTCCCCTACCACGCTGGCAGAGCTGTGCATTGAGGCTGAAAATCTTGGCTTGTGATTGGCAGAGGTTTGCTTGTGCTAGGTTGGGGTTTCCGCACCAGACTGATTGTTTGCGATCCCCTCCAATACCTTGTTGACTGGATTCGTTGTAGGAGTAGAGACTATTTATGAGCAGGCAACTTCATAATGTGCTTGGTTACATTGCATACATCCAGTCTGGCTGGTCGTAACATGACATAATTGACGTCTACATTAAAACAAGGATTGTTTCGTTTTACACCCTGCAACACCCCATATGACACTATCACTGACCACCCCAACTGGGTAACTGGGCTGGTAAGTGGGCTGGTGGGTGGATGGGTGACTGGGCTGGTAAGTGGGCGGGCTGGTGGGTGGGTGCTATCATTGGCGGGTCAACCCTGACCCGACCCGACCCGACCCGTACCCGGGTCCACCTTGACCCGAGTATGAAGGCCCGGGTCGGGCCGGACTTTCCAGGATCCTGGCCCGCGCCTGGCCCGACCCGACCCGACCCGCGAACCCGCCAGGCTCGCCCAGTTCGGGTCGGGTCGGGTCGGGTCGGGCCAAATGCTCAACTCTATTCACCACTACTCCTTCCCATCGGCGAACGTTGGCAGTGATGGGAGGAAAACAACACTAATGAGAAGGGGAGCAAGCAAGGCGGAGAGCAGCCAATGCAAGTAGGGCAGAGCAGAGGGCAGTGCAAAAAATGCAATCGACAAGCACAAGTGGAGGACGTAAGGGCAGTGGATAAGGCACAAGTGACGCCGGAAAGAGCAGCAGAAGCAAGAAACCTCACAGGCTGATCATGTTGGTCAGTGAGCCAATGTCAGCCGGGATAGCACCGGTGAGCGTGTTTCTGAAAAGCCACCTGCGCGGACAGCGAGAGAGAGGAATTGTGTGCGTACGAGCGTGCAGACATGCATGCCTGCGTGAACACGGGCAAGGAGAAAGAGGACCAGAACAAAGAAGAGATGTGGCAGAGCCTTGAGCGGTGTGCATCACACTCACAGGTGTTGCAGCAGGCTGAGAGCAGTCACAGTGGCAGGAATGCTGCCTGGCAGCTGGTTTCTTGCGAGATCGCTGTGACGGTGGCGGGGGGGGCGGGCTTAGTGGTTGAGCAAACCACAAGGGAGAAGAGCAGTGTCGCTAGAACATTAACAACGCGGCCTGGCCACCTTTACGACCAGACCGGCCCGTATTGCCCGCCTATCGCCGAGCCTTAGCCATGGGCCTGAGCATGGGTTCGAGCCAAGCCAGCTTGGCCTGAGCTTATCTCTAGCCTCTAGTGGCTTGCCTGTGATTTGGTTCTTCTCGAGTACCACTCGACGAAGCGAAATAACGATGGATATTCAAGGGATTGAACTAATGAAGCTTTCAGAAGAGCATGGTTGTGGAGAAGCGTGTGTGCCTAGCAGAAAGCAAGGATAGGAAACAACTGAAAAGAACCAGACCTGAAGCTGGTTTTTCTATTCCAGATTGACCAGCAAGACGCCTCAAATTTCTACTCCTCGACAACAAGCCGCTACAAGTCTAGCCGAAGCACCATGCCATATGCCAGGGTGGACTTGCTGCGGGCCTTGGCTTGGTTAGTTGGTAAGGCCAACTTAGCCCTATCATTTTCAAGTCAATCCAATGAGGTTTGATTGGCCTTTCATGCTTTGTTGTGCAATATCTGCCTGAAAATTCTGCAGAATTGCCTGCGTTTAGGTTCTGATGCAAAACACCAACCAAACGTTAGAATTAAGATCTGAAACTCATAGGGGAGTCTCATGACACTAATGGTAGGTCCCCCTATCATTTTCAAGTCAATCCAATGAGGTTTGATTGGCCTTTCATGCTTTGTTGTGCAATATCTGCCTGAAAATTCTGCAGAATTGCCTGCGTTTAGGTTCTGATGCAAAACACCAACCAAACGTTGGAAGTAAGCTCTGAAACTCATAGGGTAGTCTCATCACACTAATTCTAGATCCCCCTATCTTTTTCAAGTCAATCCAATGAGTTTTGATAGGCCTTTTATGTTTTGTTGTGCAACATATGCCTGACATTTCTGCAGAATTGCCTGCAATTGGATTCCCATGCAAAACACCAACCAAACGTTGGAATTAAGATCTGAAACTCATAGGGGAGTCTCATGACACTAATGGTAGGTCCCCCTATCATTTTCAAGTCAATCCAATGAGGTTTGATTGGCCTTTCATGCTTTGTTGTGCAATATCTGCCTGAAAATTCTGCAGAATTGCCTGCGTTTAGGTTCTGATGCAAAACACCAACCAAACGTTGGAATTAAGCTCTGAAACTCATAGGGGAGTCTCATCACACCAACTATAGATCCCCTATCATTTTCAAGTCAATCCAATAAGGTTTGATAGGCCTTCCATGCTTTGTTGTGCAAGATATGCCTGAAAATTCTGCAGATTTGCCTCCAATTGGATTCCCATGCAAAACACCAACCAAACGTTGGAATTAAGCTCTGAAACTCATAGGGGAGTCTCATGACACTAATGGTAGGTCCCCCTATCATTTTCAAGTCAATCCAATGAGGTTTGATTGGCCTTTCATGCTTTGTTGTGCAATATCTGCCTGAAAATTCTGCAGAATTGCCTGCGTTTAGGTTCTGATGCAAAACACCAACCAAACGTTGGAATTAAGCTCTGAAACTCATAGGGGAGTCTCATCACACCAACTATAGATCCCCTATCATTTTCAAGTCAATCCAATAAGGTTTGATAGGCCTTCCATGCTTTGTTGTGCAAGATATGCCTGAAAATTCTGCAGATTTGCCTCCAATTGGATTCCCATGCAAAACACCAACCAAACGTTGGAATTAAGCTCTGAAACTCATAGGGTAGTCTCATGATACTAATTATAGATCCCCCTATCATTTTCAAGTCAATCCAATGAGGTTTGATAGGCCTTTTATGTTTTGTTGTGCAACATATGCCTGACATTTCTGCAGAATTGCCTGCAATTGGATTCCCATGCAAAACACCAACCAAACGTTGGAATTAAGATCTGAAACTCATAGGGGAGTCTCATGACACTAATGGTAGGTCCACCTATCATTTTCAAGTCAATCCAATGAGGTTTGATTGGCCTTTCATGCTTTGTTGTGCAGTATCTGCCTGAAAATTCTGCAGAATTGCCTGCGTTTAGGTTCTGATGCAAAACACCAACCAAACGTTGGAAGTAAGCTCTGAAACTCATAGGGTAGTCTCATCACACTAATTCTAGATCCCCCTATCTTTTTCAAGTCAATCCAATGAGTTTTGATAGGTCTTTTATGTTTTGTTGTGCAACATATGCCTGACATTTCTGCAGAATTGCCTGCAATTGGATTCCCATGCAAAACACCAACCAAACGTTAGAATTAAGATCTGAAACTCATAGGGGAGTCTCATGACACTAATGGTAGGTCCCCCTATCATTTTCAAGTCAATCCAATGAGGTTTGATTGGCCTTTCATGCTTTGTTGTGCAATATCTGCCTGAAAATTCTGCAGAATTGCCTGCGTTTAGGTTCTGATGCAAAACACCAACCAAACGTTGGAATTAAGCTCTGAAACTCATAGGGGAGTCTCATCACACCAACTATAGATCCCCTATCATTTTCAAGTCAATCCAATAAGGTTTGATAGGCCTTCCATGCTTTGTTGTGCAAGATATGCCTGAAAATTCTGCAGATTTGCCTCCAATTGGATTCCCATGCAAAACACCAACCAAACGTTGGAATTAAGCTCTGAAACTCATAGGGTAGTCTCATGACACTAATTATAGATCCCCCTATCATTTTCAAGTCAATCCAATGAGGTTTGATAGGCCTTTTATGTTTTGTTGTGCAACATATGCCTGACATTTCTGCAGAATTGCCTGCAATTGGATTCCCATGCAAAACACCAACCAAACGTTGGAATTAAGATCTGAAACTCATAGGGGAGTCTCATGACACTAATGGTAGGTCCACCTATCATTTTCAAGTCAATCCAATGAGGTTTGATTGGCCTTTCATGCTTTGTTGTGCAATATCTGCCTGAAAATTCTGCAGAATTGCCTGCGTTTAGGTTCTGATGCAAAACACCAACCAAACGTTGGAAGTAAGCTCTGAAACTCATAGGGTAGTCTCATCACACTAATTCTAGATCCCCCTATCTTTTTCAAGTCAATCCAATGAGTTTTGATAGGCCTTTTATGTTTTGTTGTGCAACATATGCCTGACATTTCTGCAGAATTGCCTGCAATTGGATTCCCATGCAAAACACCAACCAAACGTTGGAATTAAGATCTGAAACTCATAGGGGAGTCTCATGACAATAATGGTAGGTCCCCCTATCATTTTCAAGTCAATCCAATGAGGTTTGATTGGCCTTTCATGCTTTGTTGTGCAATATCTGCCTGAAAATTCTGCAGAATTGCCTGCGTTTAGGTTCTGATGCAAAACACCAACCAAACGTTAGAATTAAG